GTCACCGCTTCACGGTTTTGATGAACAACATTGGCTGATATAGAATAGCGGTGTCACCATGGTTCTTCACACATTTCGGTGCAGAAGTCCCTTACAGCAAGAACTGGGTCTTTCCGTCGGATCTTCTTTGGTACCACCGATGGAGGGAAATCCTGGCCCTGCGGCCTCGCTTCGTGGAAATCATCACCTGGAACGACTTTGGCGAGTCGCACTATGTTGGTCCTCTATCATCACCCCACACGGATGACGGTTCATCTAAGTGGGCGATAGACATGTAGGTACTACCGCTTCCATTTCAAGAGTCTACACTAACGCATAATACAAAGGCCACATAATGGCTGGCTGGACATGGCTAAACCCTTCATTGCAGCGTATAAAGCCGGCTTGCACAATCCAGATGACTTCATTCACGAAGAAAGGATAGTCTACTGGTACCGCCCAACGCCCAAATGGGTCGACTGCGATGCAACCGACACAACAATGCAGGACACTGCCAGCACTACCAATGGAGACTTCTTCCGCGGGAGGCCACATGGTTCAGAGACTATGCAGGACAGTGTCTTCATTGTGACACTGTTGAAGGAGCCCGCAGATGTGACGGTATGCTCCGGGTCGAGTACACGGACGTTCCAGGCACCGCCAGGTGCACACGCGTGGTCGGTGCCAATGGGTGTGGGTGTGCAGTCATTCCAGGTTCATCGGGAGGGCCACATTGTCGATGCCCTATCTGGGGTTAGTCTACGGGATGTTGCTGACACATGTCCGTATGGCATTTACAATTTCAATGCCTACGTTGGCACACTGCCGGCGGAGCCTGAAGTTGACAAGCTGCAGCCAGACGGGATGGCTCTGTTATCCCAGGGACTGCGGACAGGTTGTCCATCTACTCCTTTGGGTAATGAGGGATGTGGAAAGCCCACAGCTCCTCTATCGCGGACATCTTCGCCTGCACCAGACTCAACCAGTTGCTGTATCATTCTTTAGCGATTTAGAGTGGGCAACTCCGCAATAGTATATAACATATCTGATAATTTCTACCTGAACGTGAAGCAGAATCATTAACAAGAACTAAACACCTGATTTCGCTTTAAAGTAGCCCATGTATTGTTAGTCATTAGCCGCAGGTCAGCTAGCTATTGGGTAGACATCCCCCAGGGTTGGGGCGATTGTATGCGTTGCGCTATTTGTAGACGCATTCCGCCACGGTATTGCTGTTGAGCCGATTGTCCTCCAAGCTCTACGCCTGCATCGAGCAACTAATCGACAATATTCGCCTTAGCATAGTAGATAACAATATGTACAGGATTTCAAACCAGGTCCTGGGCTTATAGCAAGTCACCGGCTACGCACGCAAGATAAAATGTCTCAATAAAAGTGTCATAGTCACAGTCTTTGGTGCGGGCGCGATCGAGATTCCTTTGGCAGGTGTATGGACTGTACGTGGTGGGTGGGTCGAGCCTCCAACAAGAAAGGACGAAAGACGATACACGTTCATGGGTAAGCAGCGGGGATTGCGGAAGTAGACAGAGCCTTCCAGTCACACTAGCAGGTCATCAGAAGGTACGGTAAGCTAAGAACATATTTCAACTCGCAGATGCGCCTTCTGCTAATCCTTCTTGCACGCTGCCAGGTAGGTCGTATATGTAGAAGATGATGGATAGAATCAATGGAGGCTCTCCTGGGAACACTGATGTATAATTCCAGGTCTCTGATAGGGCAGCAGCGGTACTTTCAGGACTGCCAGAGAGACATAGATCATTAAGGCTCCTTGATACAAGAGGGGACTTTGAACGTATTCTAATCTAGCAAGTTCTATATCACTAGTATTATACGGGTGTTGGAAATATAGATTATAATATACGATATCATAAGAATTCTAGTATTGTAGCATGGTAAAGTAAATGCACATAATCTAACAAAACTTTTTTCTCTGTGCGATTTAAGCCAGGAGTGAGACCGTGGTAGTGCACTACACCCATTGTGATCATGCATGTCAGATCGATTAGTATCGGTGGGCATTATCTCTTCAGCAGGATACTCTGTGCTAGTTATGGAAGAAGAACTAGTACCATGATGGCATAGGCTGCCATGCTTTCCACGAATTAGCATATCGAGAGAATATGACATTGAATTAGGCACCCGCGCGTTCTACATCGTACGAAACACATATGGCAGAGTGAAGCAAATCAACGAGATGCACTATCTGGTTCCTTCCTTCCTAGACCAAGTTTGCAGCTGGCCTTACTTTTTGCACCGATGGGTCTAGACTCTCGTCCAGCCAAGCCTAGGAATGCTGAACTCTCTACGGCCAGGTGCATGTCCGAGCTAATGCGGCAACTGCTGACTGCTGGATGAAACTGCAACTATGAAACTTGCACAGTACGTATATCGCTGCCCATCGGACACGGTCGGATTTCAAATTGCGCATCCCGAGCTTAGTGGATATAGTCCTTGACTAGAGGTGAAGCCCGTCTCGGCTTCTTAGATATTCGAAGTTCCGTTGGAGGTATCACACATGAGGAAGCTTTCCACTTGAATGACCCCTGTGGGAGACATTACGCTACCGGATACTTCGTCCTAGCGATGTGATTAGTTTATCGATCTCTCTAAACGTTGCTTTGACATCAATATTCCCTCTGCCAATTGTGATATATTCATTGCAGTAAGCTAAACTAAGTGATGGTGGCGTCACATTCACACAATACGTGTCTTGGTATGATGCCTCGGAACAAAGTACAAGCTCTATGCAGCAGGACACTGGTCATGCGTTGCAATACGCGCCATCAGCTGGCAAGGGTACCCTCTCGCGACGTTAAAGTCCTACCACAGATATCTCACGGTACGCAGAAGATCAACACCCCGCATTACGCACCCTGCTAATTGCCCCGAAGTTCGCCGAATGTAGCGTCCACAATTATAGGGTCCATTAAGAATGCTGCAGAATCAGGGTCCAGGCCGGGGCGGGCTGACAGCCCTGCTAAATCTTTATTGATCCGTCGGTGATCACCGGACGAACGCTGTCCATGACTCCGAAAACTGGAGGTGATCGGCATTCCGAACAGTCCTCTGTCCGCTGGTGGAGCCTGGGCCTTGCTGAATTTAATTTATTTACCGAACAAGGCTCCAGTAACGATTGGATCTCACCGGTCATACCCATGTTCGCGGTGATTGCCAAGGATGGTAGCGCACGCATTGTGCAAAATTGGCTGGTGGGTTGAAAGGTAGGGTATGTGGAGAGCCGTGTGTCCTCCTGAATCCATGGGCTCTCTTCCACCCATTCCGCGGAGTCGTAAAACGCCAAGAAATAAACTTGTTCAGCTATGCATATCGAGGCCGGGTATAGGATCCTGTATAACGACAAGCGGAGAGGGTGCCAAGAACCGCCCTACCAGCCAAGTAGGCGGTTAGCAGTACGCCCAGCGGAGAGGATACGTGGATTCTCATCTGGCCTGAGGAGGTCTTGGCGGAGGCGAAGAATACGCCTTTGTGTGATGTGAATAATGTAAAGTGAAAGTCTCCTACCTAGAAGAGTTAATCTCACGCCATTGAGCCAAGGCCGTTTGCAATGGCAACACCTTGGTCAACCCTGGGCGCCTAGCACACCATCGGAACAGCCCGTTAACTATATGGAGTGTATAGCCCGAACGCGCTTTAGGCATGTCGATCATGCACATAGCACGTATGAAGAATCTTTAGAGCACTGGGCTCGCACGGCTGGTACTCAAGGATGGGTATTTCCCTTATGACACGCGCCGGAAAATAAGGATCAGCCGACACCAACTAATCAAATTGTTCTAAGGCTTACCCCCGGTGGTGCCAAGGTCCCACCTTTCCTAAGTGCCAAGGACTTGGGATGTGCCTAGTCAAGGGCCAAGGTCCGTACTTTAAAACAAAACAGCTTGGATCAACATACCTGCTTGAATCATGTGCTGCTTGTAAATGCCGAGCCGTATAGATTTAGACACATTGCTGTTCGCTCTGCGTTCACTTTATTTCAATTTTGTTTAGCTATGTATTCTTTTTCCTTGTGTCTGAATACTGCACATTCCGAGATGTTGCCGCCAAGATATGATGCCATGACAAGGAATCGATTCGGTAATCACCTGCAAGCATTCACGTTGTCAAAATATGATTAATGTTAGCCTGACTACTTTCCCCAGTGACCCACAACTATACATCTCTAGCCTGCGTACGAACAGATCTAGTAAAACTTGGGCCTCCAAGAAGCTCATAACATTGCTCTATAAGTCCCACAACTGAAACAATCCTCCGTGCGCGTAAGGCTTTATGAGAGCCAGAAGCCATAGAGTAGCAAATACAGCCTGGAGGATAGGGACCCGTAGAACTCCTTCCGCGATCCGAGTGTCTGGGAATCTTCAACCCATCAACGTGGTGGAGACGCGCAATACTATAAGGTTAAGCACATGGATATCATATGTGAACTGGGATTAGAGTATTAATATGACTAAGGGAAATTGGGAATGCTGGGGATCTCATATACTAATAGGGTATGTTCTTCGGATACGCATGCCTGCTAACGGCCGCCGCAGCTAGCACCGACGATTCTCCGTAGGCACCAGTATACATTGTTTCACAAAGCGGTGCCGCATTATAGGGACCTACGGATGCAGGGGTATTTCCCTGGCATCGAGAAGCAATCCGGAATGGTGCGTCACAAGGCGAAGCTGTTGACTGAGTGTATAGTAAGAGTATACGACTGACGCTACACATTGACCACTGAAAGATGTTCAACATGATTTCCATTACTCAATCGTTTTCTTCGACTTCCTGGGCAGTTTGGTGTGGAATATTGCGGAGCAGATGGTCAACATAGCAGAGCGAACCTCTGTTACCTTCGGCTATAAATTCGACTTCTCGCATCTGTCTGAAATGATTGTCCAGAGCCCAGATCAACAGACTCAGATTCTATCAAGAGGTTCTGATTGTCTTGCTACTTCTGTTACAAAGCCCCAATCTCAAAGATCTTCTTTCTTAGCGCCATGCAGTCAACTCAAGTATGCGAGTTCCAGACAATCATCCAGAAGAACCCGGTGCTTGCCTCGACCGGCTGCACTCCGCAATTCTGCCAGGCAGGAAGGCTGATTCACTCAGATGAGCCAAGGGTAGGAGAAAATCGTCCTCTTGAAGTGGTGAAGCAGGAAGCCTTAGGGTTCTTATGGCAACTATGGCAAGAGGGAGTGTATACAGAAGAGCAGTACACGGCGAGACATGTGGAGGTTCTCAAGTCCCTTGAAGAATCAGAGGTCATTGAGCCGATGGTAGTGGATGGTGTAAAGACTGTTGGAAAAACAGCGACGTGGACTCAGACTCCAAAGGAGCTCCTACATGGAATCCGACTTGCGTGGAAGAATTCGCGCAAATGTATCATGAGGTCGCATTATATGGAGCTAGAGTACGTCATGTATCAAGGATATCTCGGGTCTGTCCTCTAACTCGAGTTCGAATAGCTTATGCGACCTTCGGCACATTACGACTAGCGCTGGGATGGTCAAGGCCGTCATTCAGGAGGCAATTAAAGCGTTCAACAAGGGACAGATCAGGCCAACAGGTGCGTTAGCAGTCTCCCTACTACTCAATATATCCTTACTAACGTACCTTAGTCTTCGCCTTTCCTCCACGCTCAACTAGCGGCACAGGTCCAATGTTCCTGAGCAAACAGTTGCTCAACTTTGCTGGTGTATGCATCTACATAGATAGCCTTCATGAACGTTGATCAGCTGATGGATAGCATAGTACCGACGAGATGACGGCTCCATTCTCGGCGACCCCAGTAACGTGGAGCTAACAGAAGACATCATCGAGCTGGGGTGGGCACCACCAGAGCCGAGAAGCCATTGGGATCTGCTACCCATAGTTGCTATGGCAGACAATGACGCACCTGCATGGGCTGACGTTCCCGCTGAGCTCCGTGATTTAGTAGACATTCGTCATCCTAGGTTCGAGAATTTCCAGAAACTTGGTCTCAAGTGGTATCAGTTTCCTGCCCTCAGTAGGCTGGGATTTGATATTGGTGGAGTGCAGTATACTGCGACCCCATTCATTGGCTGGTATGTCGCATATTTATGGCCATGATAGGTATACATGTTTTAACATGTGGTCCAGGTATATGGATGCAGAGATCGGTGTCCGTAATCTCGCCGATTCATTTCGCTACAATGCTCTACCTGACGTTGCCAAAGCCCTTGGCTTTGATATTGAGAACTATAAGAAGAACCCCGAATATGCCGAGATCGAGGCAATGGAAGACCTACCGGACTATGAACAGCTCATTTGGATGGTACGTAACCACCCTCTTCTAAACATTTCATGTATGCATGCCATGCTAATGAAACATAGTCACGGGCACAGGCAGAGCTGAACTATGCCGTTCGATGTTCTTTTCTGCAGAAGGGTGTTTCCTGCATTGGCACTCTGGCTGCCTCCTCAGACTGGACTCGATTTGATGACGAGCATGCTTCGAAGCACGGGTACAGGCTTAATTCTGACCCGTATTGGATAGCGCCTCCACAGGGCTCCATAGTCCCAGTGTGGCACCGTGGTGGCGCTCCAAACTATCAGCCAAAACCACTGATCGCAAGGCATCGATTTGATCCCGTAAAATCCTGGCGCCGCCGACGGGATGCTGTCAAGGCTCCTGTAACGCGACTCGTGAAAGTTGGTGAAGACTGGGTGGGTGACTTCTACTCCTTCGCTCTAGTTCATCCGTACTTACGAATTATATTAGGTCACTGAACATGTCACGCCAGTACAAAATAAATTGTGTATTGCAAACGGCACCAACGCTCAGAGAAATGGTGTCGTAGCCATCTCCAAGAGAATGGTGCATATTTATTACAGTAGCACAGGAACCAGTGCGTTAAAGCTTGCCGAAAAACTTCGAAGACGAGTGAAAGAGCTCCCAGGTGGCTTCCACGTGGACTTTAACATTCTCAATATGTTGGACCTTCGCAAAATTAAGTCCTCTGACCCTCTTCTAATGGTGGTCTCGACGACCGGGGACGGACGGTTCCCTGCCAATGGCGCTGAATTTGAAGCAGCAATGAAGGACATGGCCAAAGAGTATAATGGCGCACTTGCAGTCAAGTACTCGATTTTGGGAGTTGGAGACAGCGCCTACCCGACGTTCAATGCAGCTTCTGCCAAACTCCACGAGTTCATGAAAGCAGTGGGCGGAATTCCGATCGCAAATGGGCTTACAAAAGGCAATACAGCGGTAGAAGCACTGCCCATGAAAGCTTTCAATCGTTGGTGGAGCTTCGTCAAGGATTTATTAACTGGGGAAGGTGAGAATGCAGCCCCAAATGAATCAACTGAGGATGAATGTTTTGAACACTACAGGATGCTAGAAACATTTAAAACGGGCCGGCTACTGAGTAAAGCTCCCGCTGAGACAGGAGAAGGAAGAATAGCCATGATAACCATGGACCTTGGCGATATGGACTACATCGAGATGAGTCACCTGAGACTTTTGCCCTACAATACGCCAGACCAGGTTGGCCGTGCGCTCACGGCTTTGGGAGTCAGCAACGACGACCAGCGTGTACCATTTATGGATCCCACAATGCCCGATTTGAGCTACAAAGAATTCCTGCAACATTATGTTGACCTTGAAGGAAAGTTCAAAGACCTTGCGTGGCTGTCTGAAGCCTTTCCAGCAGGTGACAGGTGGGATACAGATGGGACAGTGCTTGAAGACTTGGAGCGTTTTCCAGCCCTAAAGCAGGTCTCAAATGAACTCCGCATGAAGATCTGCCTTGAAATGCCGCTGCTTCGTCCGCGCTCATTTTCCGTTGCCTCTTCTGCCAAGTATCTCGGGAAAGGCTTAGTAGAGATCATGGTCAGGCTCCACAAGGGCGGGCGCTTCAGCGACAAATTCCTGTCTGCAATTTCCCCGGGCGATTCTATCGGGTACTCCCCAGTTAGTATTATCCCAGGACAAGATCTTATTTCCTCCGAGAAACACCTCATCGCAATTTGCACTGGAACCGGCTTTGCTCCGATTCGAAGTTTACTCCAACGGAAGATACATATTCTTAAAGACGCAGAATCACAGGGCATGGAGTTCTTGTTCCAATCGCCCCCTATTAGCATTTTCGTCGGCTTCAAGGCTCACGATGAAGCCTTGTTCGAAGAAACACTTTCTACCGCCGAGCGGTATGGTCTGGTTGATATGATCTTTCGGGTACCTAGCAACAAGCAGAAAAGACGAGTGCAACACTATGTCGAGGACAATAAAGAGAGCGTTCTGGCCAAAATCAAGGAGGGATCAATCTATGTTTGTGGAGCAAAAGCCATGGTTAACGATATGGCGGCCAAGTTGAGTGATATGATCGGTGCAGATGTGAGGCAGAATCTCGGCCGTAGGTATGTGGAGGAGATTTTTTAAAACTATCTTTGCCATTAGACAATCAGAAGTCATTTTTTTCGGCTTAAAGTACGCTTTTCACTCTCGTTTACACTTGCAATGGTGGTAAATTATAACCATAGTTGGCGGACTAGTTGAAATATATACTGGTGCTGGAAGTTGCCAAGACCGACATTCTCTGCATGACTGGCTTCGATGAGGTGCGAAATAAAAGCAAAATCAAAGTACTAGTCCGATCGGAAAATGAAGATTCTACCATCATGGCATTGACTCATTCTTGCATGGCCCTCTCGAATATGGAGCGGAACTCCGATTCCGGCTTTTCCATATCGACCTTGGCTGCTTGGTCCCTCAACCGTTGCGATCTGCTTATTATCTCACCGCGCAAAGACTCCCAATCGACACCGACAAGATGACCGTCCTGTTTAACAATTTTTCCATCAACAATGACGGTGGCGATATTCTTCGATGATGCATGGAAGACTACAGTCCCGATAGCGTCCGTTACAGGCACCGTGTCAATATCGTCACAACGGAAGATCACCAGGTCAGCCTTTTTACCGGGAACGATAGAACCGATCAGCGACTCCATCTGCATAACCTCCGCTCCCCCCAAGGTCGCCATGCGTAATACATCCGCTGTTTTTCTGCCGACCTCTCTGTGTACCGTATGCGCATACTCACAAGCTCTTTGTGTCTGGAGTGCCAGCCTCATCTGGGCCATGAAATCATTCCCCTGATTCGACGTAATGTCAAGTCCAAGACACGTCCGGCAGCCCACATCGCTCGCCTTCCATACCACAGGATATCCCATGCCCATCTGCAGCTCCGTGTCGGGCGTCGCGACAATACCAGCTCCAGAACTCTGCACCGCAGCAAGTTCTCCATTGGTCATCCAACCTCCGTGACTAAACACGAGGTCCGGTCCCATCAAGTTTGCATCAGCAAATTGCTCGATGACTTCAGCCTTTGGTCCCCCATGAGATATCACCGAAGTATGCACAGTGCTAATCCTAGCGCCCAGCTTCCTCGCCATCTCCAAACCCCCGATATTCTGTTCTCGAGACTGCATCGGCGCCTCATCCAAAGCAATTCCAAAAGTGAGGAGGGAACCTTTCGGGTCATTGTTTGGGAAATGTTCCTGGCGTACACGGAGAGCATCTTTAATCCGAGCAGCTTTGTCAAATGGACCCGTTGCCATACTGGCGAGATCCCCGGGTACTGTGGGGTTCTGGTAGAACCCATAGCAAAATGTCCCTCGGATAGCAGCATCTTTGAGGCCCCTTACGGCTGCATCAGCATGTGCTGGGGAGTTCATTATGTGGGAGTGGTCAAGGACAGTTGTGACGCCGTTGTTTAGGAGGCTCAAGGCGGCCGCATAGTTAGCGAAGTAAACATCATCTGGTTCGTACAAACTCCCATAAACGGTCCGCAGATGACAACAATAACCGAAAAGTGACCAGTCCACGGTGATCCCCCGTAGGAGATGCTGCCACATGTGATGGTGGCCGTCGACAAACCCAGGAGTAATGATGCAGTTTTCTGCGTTGATGGTGACCACCTTCCCTTCTGTCGGTGGAGAAATGTCAGGGCCAACGGCCTTGATCCACTCATCCTCTATGAGAATATCGCAATTATCTAGGACTTCTCTGCCAGATGCCTCCATAGAGAGCACCGTTGCCCCTTTGATATGGATAAATGAGTCCGGCATATCGGAGTATGATCAACGACGGGCACAGTAGAGATCAAGAAGGATGATAGAAATGGAAACACTCAATAAAGATATTTATCCAGAAAGTAGATCAAGGCAGCGCCAACAGTCACTTGTAACCGTTAAGGTGGTGGAAGAGATAGCCTACCTGGCCGCGGAATTCCCCTCTTCTGGAACTGGGCTTTTTCCCAACCAGACCAAATGAGCCACGGCTGTCAGAAATGGAAGCGGGGTAATGCGCATATTCAGCACGAACATTGGTTCATTGATACATGCAAACATTTAGGCCTCCCATCGGCATGGTATAGAAATCCTATCGCCTACGTCATCATCCCAGTTGCTGTAGGGTCACGTGCGCTTCAGGTCATCGGCGTTTTAAGACCATGTAGAATTGATATCGATGATTTCAAGCTTCGAGGCCATCTCCTATGTTACAAGACACATTATATCGGTGGCTATAATATTGTATATAAGTTTATTTCTCTCCTGACGCAGCTGTTGCTTGCCAACCTCTACACAGTGCTGATCTGTCAGGCATAATTCGCTGAGTGCCACGTACGTCTAGCTGACACAAAGCTGAATCGGTTAACTTAGGCATTGGACATAGATTCGATGTCTGCAAATATAAAGATAACTTCCTGTGATCTCATGAATTATAAAATTAGCTTTTTTAGTTCTAACTGCCAGGGGGGAAAGAGAGCGTATACATGATCAAGTTGATCTGGACCCAATTCGTGATACTGAAAAAGATGATTAGTATACAAGAGCCACCAGAAAGGTAACAGCTCATAACCGTAGAAGATATGATGATAATAAGCATAAATATTATTGGTCAGGGTATATAGTGGCCGTTCTTAACCTATGATCATGAAAGCCAAAACTTCATTTCATCCAAAAGCTTTGTTATGAGATGAATGTTGAAAATTACAAATATAGCTTGTAGGTGGGCATTGTTACCATGTATAAACGTTTCCATTGTTCCTCAATGATACTTAGCCCGAAAGACAACCGAAACATACGTTCTGCGAGACTTGGATTTGCTATCACTCCGTTGGTGCTTCCTGCTCCAAAGGCGTGCCGCACAAAGTATCATCCTCAGGCTAGACGAGGGTTTCCCCATGCCTGGATTGCAGCAGACCAGATCTTGTCATGGATATCCATGGCCCTATGATCTGGCTGTCCAAATCTCCATTGCTTTTCGCCTTCTGGACCTCCATACCGAGCTATGAAATCTGTAACAGCACCACGACACTGTGCCTCAGTAGCTGCAGTACCAGATTTATCGAATTGAATCGTGATGTTGTCTCTCTCCCCCAACCTCTTGATCAAAACTAATTGTTTCTTGCTAGGTACCCATTTGATCATGCCATGGAAGTGCGCACGTCCTTGTGCAAAGGATCTAGAATGAGATTTAATTAGTTGCGAAGTGGCTCTAAAGTTGTCGTTTGTATGGAGATGATTTTAAACAAGCCATAGCGACACACGACGACAAAAGCCAAAGAAAAGCAAAAGGGAGGAGCAGATGTAGACAAGCACATTAGATAAAGTGCCATACCTGAACAAGCAGAGAGGTTCGAATCTCTCGCTGATTTCCATCAAACATTGCGACATGGACTGCTGGACGGAGAGGGCATTTCCTGACTCCTTCTAAGAGGCCGTGAGTCTCCAAGCAAGAGAGAAACCCCCCAAGCTATGGGGGGAAGAGAGGGAGGTTGCATACGAGACCTTGTCCGCCATCAAACTTGGACATTCCAGCACGCCATTTCCATTGACGGTTCCTTGTGTCACCTGCTATGGTCGTCCAGTCGTCACCGTCATTCAGGACGAGAACGCCAACTGCCGAACTCGAGTCGATGAGAATCCCTGTTTTCATGCATCGAGCGACACGATGCCCGTTGAGATCGTAGAACTTAAAATCAAATGATGCGGAGCTGTATTCCTGCAGTTGTCGGACAATCCGCGTAGCGAAGGAGGTGCAACGACCGGCAGCCCACCATGTCCGGATGAAGGAGGTGGACTGGTCCTTGGTCAGATCCTCTATCTTAATCTTCTTTTTAAGAAGATTCTTGTCTTTGAGGATGTTTCCCCATGGTTCGCCGGACTTGTTGACAAGATATTCTCCCTGAAGGAAGTTGGAATATGGGCCGTCATTGAAGGCTTCCTCCCAGCACTCCTGTGCCTTACGTCGAAGTTTATCGATGTTAGAGCCCATGGCTGTGACGGTGTGAAGAAGAGTGTGGTGAGAATGATGAGTAGAAGGGAATCTGTCGTGCCCCGGTCTGCCATCTGGCCAGCCTTATATACAAACGCCGTGACCACTCTCAGACCGAAAAGGGCTTTTTACTCCCCCTCTCTGTATCCTCGCCTTTCGGACAGATAGACATATCCTTTTCGATTGCTAATGGGTACATCATGGACACCCAACCTCGTACATTGATTGGATCTACTATGTGATAGCCTGTGCAGATACAGACCAGACCCTTGCAACACTAGTGTAGATAATCAAACTCTATAGTAATTTATTCCTGCATGCACCTATGACCCAAGCATCACCCGAGGTCAGTGAAGCGGAGGTGCGAAGCTGAATATTGAATTCATGATTGAATGCATCTGAAATCTACCATTGTGCCCATCTATGCGCGGGATAGGAAACAAGGACTTGCCTCATGGGCTCCAGCGATGCGATAAACATACATTAAAATTTTGATCCAAGCAGTCTGTAGCATCATATGAAAACCCACCTTTAGCTCGTATAACGACGTGTATAGCGGATACTTCTCGCTAGTAATTTATGGTGTGCGTATCCAGTTGCCTTCACAAGGCTTACCATAATTGAAAATTACATTCAGTGATTTTTAACGTTATTAGAAATGACGTTCTGTCGTATTAAATTTTGATATTGGTTCTCATGGATATTCAGTCCAGCTGCCAGGTAGGTAAGAAATGTATTCTATTTCTTTGATTCCACACGTTCTCATTTGTTGGATGGCATTGATATTCATCTCGATTAACCCCGCGCCGCCACGGCGAGCTGAACAAGTGAATATGACACGTTATTGGTGGCAGCTGCCTTGCATGACCCACTGTCAATATTCATGCGATCAATTTAGTCCTTATAGTGTCTGGCTGTCAAATTCGCAGGATCAGAATACAATATCTCCAAAAGCCACCTTCGGGACTTACTTCCATTTCTTCGCCCATATTTAGCTGCATTGTCCTTTGAAAGTGAGGCAATAGAGATCTTCTATGGGTTGATTGGTGTAAGAAGAATCATATACTGTCGATCCTTGGTCTTCCAGTTCAGCTGAGCGATTTTCCAAGCTATGGTGGATTCCGCCCCGCTGTCTGACGTGTTGAGGGGTGACGAACTATGTTCAGCTCTCACTTTTTACAACGAAATGAGTTGTAGTCATACCCTCTGAAGTTGAAAGTGGCTGACGGTGATTCTGTCATCCAGCAATAATCTACCGGCCGAAATCTGCATGTTGTAGGCACCCCATCATAGGTCTTTCCCGAACCAATGCATACTGGCATCTGAATGACTGCCCTCCGGATCCTGAGCACTTCACCCACGTCGGACCAAAGATGAAGAGAGTCAAGGAGAGGGGGGGCGAAGTCAGGGCAATGGTAGGCGGCGAAGCACACGGCAGCTCTCAGGTGCTAAATTCGGAGATTCAAACAGTACAGGTTTGATGGAATGGATGGTGCCTGTTGTCCAGTCCGAGCTGTCCACTTCTTGGATACTAAACTGGACATTCGCGTGTAAATCTAACTGTAGGGCTATTGGTACACCCACGCTTCTAGCGACTCTTGTACTCAGTCCTGCAAATCCAACGATGAACAGAAAACTCAAATCATTGACCTTTCAGTGAATGGAGGACATAAACGAATGTATCTATTCTTTGTTGAATATATGCCATCCGAGATTAGACTTGTCTAATTGCCTATTTGTTGAGTGTAGTCTCCAAGTTCTTCAAGGGGTGTACTTGGTAGGCCTATTCCAGGGGTTATCTCAAATGGGAATACGTATGCATTTATGGCCCATTTTTATAATACCCAGATAGCGCACCATTGTACATTATAGCGCCGTCTCTGTCAATTACAAATATATATGTCATACTTGTTGTCACCGAAGCCCCCCATACATCACTATCGCCCGATGGCAGATTGCACACCCGCACCAAGTCCACGTTGTATTGCTTCCCATCCTAATCACAAACGAAAATCATCTTGTCCCACACTCTCCACTCATCCCCTGCCTTGGAAAACAAGCACGTATTCGGCTTCAATTGCTGCATGCCAGATTGGCCATCGCCACACCCATAACCGGCAAAGCACAAAAAGACCGAACACCCAGGATTCAGCCAATTCAAGACAGCCCCGCCTGATCCCGAGATTGTGAACACATGGCGATTTGCACTCAGATCGAACTGGAGTACTTGGCCATTGGAGTCACATTGGTAACCGGGAAACACCACCGCTTCTCCAATGGTCAAGGCGCTAACCGTGCAGGAGTTGAAAGCAATGCCTGCGAGGGTTGCAATTTTGGCGAGAGAAGGGAGCTTCATGTTGAGCTACCTGTTCACAAGCCGGATCAGCCCTCACGCCTTAAGTGTCGCATGAGTTATAAGAACTTACCAGAGGTATTCAAATTGTAAAAGGAAGTCAAGATGCAGAAAGGCTAGAAATTTTGGAGCCTGTCTAGATCTTCATCTATATATACCACGAATAAAAGTGGAGTGAGGGCTAGGAACATCTTGGCATCTTGATTGCTAACCTACGACGGTTGAGTTATCGGCTTGAGTACCCTAACACAGTGGGCCGATAAAATGTGTATACCAAATAGGGAAAACCCTCTATAACGAATATCCTCTAGTGCGATCTACTTCTGGCTAGGAAATACATGCCAAGTCATGTAGTGTCATGACAACAGACTTGCCTAAGCTTCTGTAAATCATTATGAATTGTTGGTAATTATTATGGAATGGCGCTGTAAAGGCTGACGGAGTCTTATGCAATTTCCTAATGCATAAAGGCGATTCTTCCTCACCAATTCGTCGACGACTGCTCCAAATGATTGCAATAAATTTCACGAATATACATCCCTATCTCGCATGACCCTCGCGCTTTGCTTAATTCATTATCTAGTAATCTTTCAGAGATTGATCGGTCAGCTTCATTAACCGAGGTAAGATAGGAAACTGGGAAGATGAAGACTCGATCATCCAGAAAATATATTTACAAAAAACGAACTTTCACATCCAGTTATTGTACTTTGCGCATAATTTTCAATACAATAGGTGCTCGCCTTTCTGCTTACATTAATACCATATATCGTGCACTTAGGTCCGAGATAGGTTAAATGAACAGAACACCAGTTGTTCCATCGGGTTCATAGCTCCTTTGGTCGCTTTCAAACATAGCCTGCTATATTCTGATTGTCTTGGTGGCATTGCACAGACGAATGTGATACTCCTCTTTGATCAAGTCGATCGATACCAGCCCCGAACGCTTGTGATTACCGAACTAAAAGGAGAGGGGGATTATGGGTATCACCACTGTTGCATGACACTAAGTGTCAACTGGCACTTCCACATGTAGTAGCTCCAACCCATGCATAACTATTTTCTAGAACCGTAAGGCCAGATGGGGGTTTTGTTACTATTTGCAAATGCAGGAAATCAACAGAGAGAATTATCCGTTGGCGTTTAACATACCGACCCTGCGACACAGAAAACAGTGAATCCGGCCTGATACTCCTTGGTAGGGAATGCTAGAGCTCTTGCATAGCATTCAGGACGAACAACTTCATACAATATGACCGGACTGCATGCTTAATTCGTACTATAGTCTACCATACCGCTCCTTGCGTCCAGTTGATGCAATGCCTCTAACGATTAAAATCAAGTATAAGTCTCCTCCCTGACGACAGTCATTCCTTCCGCAGTGACATCAAGCCAGACCTGCCTATCCACCGTCTGCGTGCTCCCATCTGCAAGGGTGAAATTGATATGTCCATCGTTCTCCATCATCACATCCCGTTTCACTGCATGTGAACAACTTCTGCTTGTATCGGCCCAGAACCATCCGCCCGCATAGATATTGCCGTATGTCCAGCTTCCGCCGTTGTAGCTCGTGGAAGCATAATCATACCACATGCACTGCTTGATGATTTCCTCGGTAATATCCTATTATCCATTGTCAGCACAGCTGGCTTTAACATTATCCACGGCAAAAGCAGAGTTACATACCCAACATTGTTGCTCGGATTGCATCCCAGAGATCGTCCAGGATCCCCAGTAGGCACTAATGATACCGCCACCTGCATCACACCAACCGCCATCTGGACCGGCCGTGATGGATTGCGACCACGCATTGGGGCAGAGCCAAGCCCGGATTGACCACATCATTTGGACCGCGGCATCGCTAAACCACTGTTGATTTGGTGCCGTGCAGTCGGCGGCATTTGCGGTTAGCAGGACAGTAGCAACAGAAAGATATCTTGTCAACCTCATGATGAGGGTTTCGCAGGGAGATGTTGCGGTGATGTTTTAAGGAGGTTCCTCGGATTGATGGGAATCAATCTGCAGCAAACCAAACGTATTCTTATATACTCGGTCGAATGCATTCCATAGTCTAGCCGCAACCAGCACGGCGGAGTTCATAATGGGGTGGCTGATTATATGTCAGCATTGGCTAATACACGCCAGTGGGTTACTGAATGATTCACACATTGATGCCTTCCAAGCAGGAGACTTGGCAAACATCAAGTTCAGTCGAAGGCAGCTCCTCGCGTGAAATTTGACTGGTACTGGTTGGACGAGGCCAATCTATCTAATTTGAAGGGTTCAGTTTTCCCAAGACCCAAAACCTGATTAGGATGCAGGGGATTGATTAGTGTCCATTTTGCAGAGCCTATACCAATTCCCGAAAAGAGTTTCGCTTGTTCCGCTAGTCGTCTTTAGCTTCGTCTAGTCTCAGGCTAAGAGAAATTTATCCTGTTTTCCATACCAGACCACATCTTGGCGTATTCTCCTAAATCTTTACCTAATGTCGCATAATCATTGGATTTTGTGGATTCTTGTGGTCCACTCATGGCCAGTACTGGTCCATCTATGCCGACCTTTCCAGAAGTGATTTCTAACAATGCCAGTGATCTTACATAGCAAGGAAACCATAGGTACTTATGCCACTAAGAATCGAAAAATGCGGAATGATATCGCAAACAGCTAAGTAGATTGTAACATATTTCATCAAAAGATAACCATGAACATTTTATGTCTTCGAGAGAATCTTCTCTCACGCCCGGGAAAGGCAATTGCCTGCCACAGCAATTCGTACCCATAGCGATACGTCTTTAGCTCGATATCTATAACTAAAGCTATCCTTATGTAAGTCAAGGTACAGGAGAAGCCGTATACCGATATCCCTCTAGTCAAGATAGGCACAGGGTCCGTACGTACATGGCGTGGCGACTGAAGTGCATCCCAGATGGCTTTCAACTTGCAAGGTACATTTCTGGGTACAGCGAATATTCACCGGTCTCGCCAGACTAACAATGGAATATAGACGGGCTCTTTCCTCAGAATTACTCCCACCTCTACTCTGGCACCTTTCGCCCTGGGACTGAATTTCGGTTTGATCATAATTCCGGAGAAAGGCCTCATCTTTGGCAATACAACCCCACTGGGATACTTTGCTTCTGCACCTAAAAGAGTTGCGATAACGCAATCTGCCCCAAAGGTCCAGATAAGACCCATCTTGGATACTTTTCTTCTGGCTTATTGGCTTCGATTAAATCTGTTCATGTGGAACCAGCCTGCACCCTTCTAAAAACTCACTGCAACACGCTTTCTACGCCAATAGAAACTCTTCGTAAGTACACTAAGTAGAAACTTCGATGTTCTTAGCATGTCAAAGCTGAGACAGCCCAAGCAAAGCTAAAGGCATCTCACTGCACTTGGGATACGTAACATATACCAAAGACCACTCAAGCTTCTTTCACATAACGAACATTTAGGATTATTGTAGGCGTTGTTGAAGACATCTTGCACAAACAGCAATTCAACGACGCAGTGTGCTCAGGTTCATACCCAGATCATACTACGCATGGTATAATCTAACTGGCTGGGCGGAGATTCGGGCTTTTAAACCAGGCAAACTGCGACCTACCGTAGATAAATCAAGCGTCGGGGTCTCACATAAAGTACTAGGCTGAAGTATCGCATCTTAGCTGCCTTTCAGTTGCCTAGCTCTCTTGATGGTTAAACAAGAAAAGACAGAAGCTATATATAAAAATCAGGTCAACCTAAGTACATCTCTAACGGAAGGTCGTGGTACATGTGGTAATCTAAATCGGTGCTCCACTCCAAAACGAAGCACTTGACAAGAGCAATAACAACTAGCGGACTGAGGTAGGAAGCGCTTGACTGGGGGTGTGACGATCTCCAAAAGGTTGTTTCATCAAGTGCTGAGACTTCACCATCCCATAGAGTGAGTGCTATGTCAGTGACAACCCTGACTACGTCACCTGAATTCCCACTGCCGGCTAAACAGCACTCGCAGCCATATCAGCCATGTTGTCCCTCACAAATCGAGGGTTCCAACCTTTAGCATCCAACCTCTCCGGCCATCTTTCCACGACATGGCGAAGTGTCTGCGCTAGCTGCCCTCGCCACCGGTCCATCCGGTCCTTTGCAAATGCAACCAGTATGTCACGGAGTCCTCGATGGATTGACCAAGAAAGAGATGACCATGGGAGGCAATCCAAGGCTCTATTGAGAATGGCCGCTTCCGTTGTAGGAATATACACCGACACATCGATATCAGCAGTATGGCTGTTAGGCAAGCGAAGCAGGGGCATGTCTTGCAATCCTTCTGTTTCCACCGTTACAGCTTTCATGAACAGGAAGTCGACATCAGTGACATTGCCACCTATCATATTGTACAAGTGCCTGCCACTATGTGCACCGCCAAACCCTTTCACGGCATATTTTAAGACCCACCGACCGGACGGCTTGCGCCCGGGGAAGGCACACTTGAACGTGGTACGCATTTGCGCATCAATCACTCCAGCGAATATTTGCAAGCACCTGTCAACTCTTCTGTCAAAGGTTGTTGGGTAAACATCTTTTCATAAAGTGTGTGAGTCATGTGCAGTAAAGTACACACGTGCCAAGTCCCCGATAGGCCATTCGACGCGCCATTGTCCACAGTAGGCTGCATACGCAGCTCGATGACCAGACGACCCGCTGTGTCGAAAGGTCAGCCGAGCATTCGTGATGCAAAACAATGCCATCAGCGTGGTGCGGGAAATGATCGTACAGGTAGTCAATTTATGCTTCACAAGGGGATGAAGGGGAAGATCCCCCCATCCATCATCTACCACGATCACACCTGATTTAGGGTTAACGGTCACAATACACTCGGCTTTAACAGGAGAGTCCTCCGCAAGTATTTTTGGCTTCTCCCGCGCGTCGCGTATGGTGCTTGAACTCGTTGGATGAAGAACTGCAAGCAGTACTGACCATGCAGCCTGGCCTGTGGGTTGAGTAAGCGGCAAGCGACTGACAGCTATAGTCATTTGGCCACAGAATCCATCACTGAGGCTTGCAGTGATTAAAGGTCCAACCGGGGGTGGCTTGATCACACGATACCACGGTATATATGCCTGCCGCTGGCTCCATTTGCCTAAATGTTGGACGTTTCGTAATGAATGAAAAGGGTCCGCCTGGTCAATGATGGTGCCAAATCGTGTAACGATAGACCCTAATCCCACAACTGTTGCGGCCAATGAAAGCCATGTAGCAACGGCTGATGAAACATCCATTTGGAGATTATGTTGGCTACTTAATGCTCAACACATAAAATAGTCAATGTCACCGATGCAGGGCTGACGGAGGATCTCATATGAGTCATATGATAACTTTGAGGGATGTCTCAGCCGCTCGATCTTTGTGGTTGTGATTTCTGTCTCCAATTAAATATCTCAGATTCTGCACCCGCCTGTGGGGTTGTGTGGAGAAAAGGGACAGGTTCACTTCCTCTGTAAGTGGTACGGATCCGATATAGAGTCGGACTGTTCAATGCACAGATCCCTCGTACCCCGGCCCTTCGTGCAGTATATCCAGTCCCTCGTACAGTCTTGAACCAGCGTCACAGGTATTCGCCTGATCCAACCCCCCTTTCCGTAATAACGAGACCTCACCGGGACAGGGATGTAGCGAAGCTATTTATGGTAGAGATGAGACACAGAAAGGAGGGCAAGAGTCGGCTGCGTGGTATCGTTTTACTATTCAGGCAATAGCACATCCTTCTTCCTCTTGCCTACCTACCAATGTTAACCGTAATGTGTCATAAGTGGAAGTAAAGCATAGAAAAAGAAAAAAGAAAAAAGAAAAAATAACAGAACAGAACAGAACACGCAGGGATAATGGTTATCAACGGAACGATGTTCTGATAGCTAAATTCATTCGAAGGTACAGTTGAACAAGGACATTGAGTCCTCCACATCACTAATCAATCATTGGACTGTTGTGGGATTTGTCAAACTCAAGTCAGCATGGAAAAGAAATTTGGGTACAACCTATCGTCTATCATGTGCTAGAATTTCGTAGGCTGGCCATAGACATTGCAAGACGCCGGTTACACGGTAGTACATGTCCCCAAGATGCTTCGACTGACGCACCAAGGCTAAGCAAGTTTGTGTGGCACAAGACACACAAGGCCTGGTGCGTCTTTTCTGGTTCTGCTCGTCGTCAAATCATTGCGGAATCGGTTCCTCCCCTATCGAAGAGCAGCATTCTTTCAGTTAATCGTGAGATGACAACACATGATTTTCTACCGGTCGAAATATTCCTCCTTATTGCTGAGAGCTTAGATCTACACACTCTATGCTCGTTTGTTAGAGCTTTTCCGCATGTTGCAGAAGCACTGACATGTCTGCACTTTTCGATTCACGACGAATCTCAGAACTCTATTGTCCACTTACTAGCAGCTGATGGAGAGCTTGAGCTCTTACTGCAAGTCTTGAAATGCAGAAGCGCTCTCCCTGACAGGAAGAACAAGGACGGGCATACCCCAATGTCACTTGCAGTCACCAAAGGGCATCTCCCAGTCGTTCAAGCACTAGTGAATCGAAATGACGTTGACACAAGTCTTACAGACTCCATGAACAGGACCTTGCTACACATGGCATCACTGAGCGGCCATGAATCAGTGCTGGATCTGGTCATGCATTGGCCCGCGGTACCCATTAATCAAAAGGATAAGCATGGCCAAACCGCCTTTTCACTTGCAGCCGAATATGGTCAGGAGCGGGCAGTCGTGATGAGTATAAAGGAAGCAGATTTATATGCAAGGGATGTTTGGGGGGCGAGTTGCTCTGCATGTCGCAGCGCTTCATGGCCATCAAAAGATTGTGAAGAATCTACTGGATCAACCCGACGTGGATGCCAATATCCTCGACGATCGACGCTGGACACCGCTTTGTTACGCCGCAGGAAATGGACATGCCCCAGTGATTGAAGCTTTGTTGCGTAACAACGATGTTGATATATACTTGCGCGGGATTGAACATCAGAACCCCCTTTCATTGGCAGCAGAGAGCGGAATGCAATAGCTGTGGATTTACTGCTACGTCGAATGCAACAAGACCTCACAGCATCCAAAGGTCCCACGCATCAGCTGAGTTCGCAATTAAACTTCAGAGATCTGTGGGGACGCACCCCTTTATCAATTGCAGCCGAATATGGACACGAAGCAGTAGTAACCCTATTAGTCACGCTTCCGGATGTGGATATCAACGTCGGGGACTATGGACAAGAGGGACCATTGGCAAAGGCTGCAAGAAATGGTCGTGAGAGTATAGTGGAGTTATTGCTCGATCTACCGGACATTGATATTTGTTCCTCGAATGTACGAGGACAGACACCACTAGACCTTGCAATCCTGGCAGGTCATACGAATATTGTAATGGTCCTGCAGAGGCACTCCCTGGTCGCAGCCCCAGATCTGGCAGGTGATTCACTTTTATTCTGATGTGACACTCATAATTAATTGCCTAACACTTCTGTTGACCGAGGGTCGGTCGAGTAGACAACTAAGCTTTACGTATATGAAGGAATTGGATGTTGAACTAACCTGGTCCAGTACAGTATAGTACCGCCATCTCAGCTACCTATTCCAACATAGGGCGAGGCAAAGGGAAACCGAAATCATCCATCCAGCAACCGGAGCGTACGTTTATTCTCAGCATCTTAGGGTATACCAAGATTCCCCGGGTCGAGGGGAAGGGCGATCTGAAGGTCGAGGCCTTGTCAGTTTCATTGCTGTAACATAACCCGCGCTCTGTACTACTCCGTGAGTAAGAAACCAACCCCTCAACAAAAAGCCATTGGCTTACTAGGTATTCATGGCGCTATTGTGCGCGAATCCAAATCCGACAAGTTTCTGTAATGTCGGCTGATTTTCCAAGCGCTTGCTCCCTGTTAGAAGTGAGACTCACTTAGGAAAGTCATTACTCCAAGTCATTCCATTGCTATCGTTTCGCTCCCTTTATTTCCATGTTCGCTTCACAGACTGACAGACTTATTTGCGCTGTCCGGCGTATTACTGGTCGCAAGGACGGGGATACGCCCACTTGGGCTATTGCGATACAGTATGCTATTATCTATGAATACATCTATAAGGCACCAACACGAAAGCAAGTCTATGTAGACGGCGAACTAGGGCTAATTTGCCGACAGTATGCATTCGAACCCTACCAAATCACTTACCTAAATAGGCTTAGCCTCAAGTCTTATAGGTTAGCTCCGATTATTGCGGTTAAAGCTTTATCAACCGATTCAAACCTCAACATTCCCTACCCGCTGTAGGTAGGTCAACCTTTCCCCATAGCCTCCCCGCTACAGTTATAGTGATAATAGGGGAGTAATGCGAGGGGGTCGATCAAGACAATTCATCTGCGTAGTCGGGGTCCAAGAGTCTGAGCATCCAAGCTGCTTAGAGGGGTTCAACTATACTTAAATAAAATTGCATGTCGAAATATGGACAACCTTGTCGCCGCAAACGTGTTCGGCACATTGGGAGCTGTGCTATGGTCGCTTCAGGTTAAACACCATCCCAAGTTATTCATTAACATGGCGACTAATCTGCAAAATAGCTGCTGCCCCAAATATGGAAGAATTGGCGACGGCATGACAGCGAGTCCTTGTCCGCGGCTTTCTTCCTCTCCTGGGCCATGGCCGGAGTTCCCCTCGGCGTCTACAATATTGCAGATAACTTCAATATTGCTCTGCAAGTTCAGCCGAATATCCTCATCTGCCTAAGTCTCGTCACGTGGTCCCAATGCAAGTACTATGGAGACAATTGGAGGCTGAAGAAAATAGTACCTGTTGCTATAGCCATAGGTGCAGTTCTTGGGGGCGCCGAGGCTGGTCTCGTCTTTGCGCTCCGTGTGGCCTTCCAACGAGGTCAAAAATGGCCGTCCACACTGATGGCAATCCTTTCCGCCGTTCTTCTTGCGGCCGGAGTGCTACGGCATTACGTCGATATGTTTAGAACGCGGTCAGATGCAGGGTTGTCTCTCAAGTTTGCCCTCCTCGATGCGAGCGGAGATGTGGCCTCTATTTTGTCTGTGATCTTTCAGCCTTCACTAAGCATCCTGGGACTAGTCATCTACGGTACGGAATTTGTCATATGGCTTGGTCTGATGATCATTTTGTTATATTTTCGGGCTGCACAGCGAAGGAAGGCGAGAGACATTCGAGCGGATGGACCGTCCGATGCTGTAAGTAACTAGCTGTGGATCACCCCACCATATATGTATATACGGCTAGCTAGAACAATGAGGATATAGACAGTCATGCATTTCTCCCCACACGTCTCCATGAATACCAATACCCTTTCCTTCCAAAACCTTGGTGTTATAGGATTATAAATACCTCAGGGCAATTGCTTAATCAACATTATTGGCATAGAAAGAGAGTGTAATGCTTGGGTGAAAGGTAAATTTACGAAAGTCGGGCATTCCAGAACTGGCGACGTGTCCTCTATGTCATGAGGAAATATAATATATGAAAACTTTCGGTGTTACGAGATTGTTCGGCAAATGCTTTGTTCTGCGCGGGATGATCTCCCGTGAACGTGACATACTGAAGCTTTTTGAGGCATAAAGCAACTGATGTCGCATGTCGCAGAAGGCTTTACAAAGGCCTATTTCGCTGTCATATATTGATAACATACTCAGCATTGTTATTGGGGTCTTCAGGGGTTTCACTTCAACCTAGATAGCCTACTCTAGACAGTACAAGACCTTGCTTTACAAATCTCCTCGTACACTAGTTACTCTTGCCCTTGCTTTAGATGTGGGTATTATAGATAACCCCTGTGAGAAGCTTTCGGAGCAAGCCCAGACCCGCTCACCCCATCAACTGCGCCCTAGCGCATTCTGGAATGAACAATGGTGGAGGAATGGTGGCGTGAGCTGAGGAGCCTGAGAGAAAGCAACAATGCGGGATCATCTCATCACGATTAAATTCTTTCCAAGTAAATCTGGATTTTCGATTCTGAGCGAAGATCCCGCAAAAGTGATCTAACCAGATCGACAGAAATAAGTCTATCTTTGTCCCAATATTGCAATTTGACAATGCACACCCCCTACATTCCACTGTCACAATTATGATTCGCCAGCACCGTAGTAGAGCAAGAGGTTCCATCCTAAGAAGACATCTATAAATTACATGAAGCCCTCTAGAGTACACATTGCTCTCTTTCTTTAATCTATCTCTCTCAATTAGAAAAGAAAGCCGCGTCCATTTCCCGTTTAAATTTCTTAGCAAGACACAAATACTGTTATTTTTCTTTGCCCTCCCAAATCCACAGCCATGCAGTTCTATTTCTCTTTCGCCGCTCTTATTGCCCTAGGTGGCCAAGCACTCGCCCAATCCGCCACTGGAAATTATCTCATCGGAGAAAGCGACAATTTCTTGACGCTAAATGATGGCCTGGTTGTCTTTACCTCAATCAATGGCGCAGATAACCAGATTTGGGGCTTCAACACCGTCGGCCCCAGTACTGTCGTTATCCAAAATCAAGAGTCAGGAGACTACCTTAACTGTGATGAGAGCGGATCTCCCTGCAGCACTTCCGGCAACCCTCAGGTTTTTGAGCCTATTAAACGGGGTCAGGACTTATACCAGATTCGGGATGAATCCGGTGATTTATTCCTTGCCGAGTCGTCCGATAAGACGGTTCATTTGGTTGAGGAGGTGCAGCCTGATGAGAAGACCATATTTACACTGACTCGGCCTGCTACTGAGTGTGAGTTGCAGCGTGCTCCTTTATAATTTTATAGTCAGATTCTAATTCACTAAACCAGAATTTTGTCGTTTGTCATCTCAATGGCTGCAGTCTGTCGGATAGGTGGCGGGTCTGCTCATTCGACCGCAGAGTCCAGCCTGCCATTCCGTGCATACAGCCAACCAGGCCCCGAATTAGATTAGTTATACCTGGTTAGAAGAACTCAGTACCCGCATACTTTCTTATATTATTTAATCATTCTGTAAGGATTATTTTTATGTATAAGAAAAAGCGCCCTCGAGTGTGGGAGAATAATTCGGTAGAAGCTGCTAATATGCCCCCCCAATGTAATTTAAGGAGCCAATAACGATAAAAGTTTAATTTTTCCACTTCGGATCAAAATCTTAGGCTAGTCTATACATAGGTATTGGTGCTAGGTTATTCATAGCCCATTCTAGACATTGATCTATAATAGGCATAGCGTCCACTACTCCATGAGGAAATGTGCTAGCCTAGTTAGGAAGGGTGGGCTGTACTCCATCTCAGCGACACTCACTCTTTCGCTCGATTTGGCAATCTGTGCAAGAAGACTTTAGCAACGAGTCAGCCGATATGCCTGTTAGCTCTGTTATTGTGAGAAAATGGTGAGACACTTCTAATATTCTCTTTTAGGATAAGATAGAATAAATAATTGAAGATCAACTGTTGTTTCGTAGTCCCTGGCAGTAGAAATATATTAATCTACCTAGCAGATGCACCTGTAGTACAGAAAAAATTTCAACCAAACCAGGAAACAGTTTTCGCCCTTCCTCTCAAATTGAGCATTCACCGTCGTAACTGCTCATAGTTTTCCTATCAAGTTATAAGTATAAAAATATAACGTCGACAAATACAAGAACCTCTTGACATACAATGCTGGTATTTTCGGCGAGAGCATTGGAAATAGTGGGATTGGCTCCTGGTCGACCTACTTGCATATAAACATATCGTCTCCGAAGGGTTCAGATTATCGCCAGGGAAGAAAGACTAATAACGCTCTTCCATTCCAAAGAGAGCATTATTGGCAATAGCCAAAGGAACGATAAATATATTGTGTTGTACAACCGGTACATTTTTCAGGTTTCCGGGCTACTGCTAGTTTAGTTGGGCTCTTCTCACAAACCACCCGGCCTCGATAGTTCGACACCGATTGAACAGCATGCAGCAGAAATGCTATAAAATGAACATCCTGACATCTATAAACTGGATACACAAAATCCCTCGCTTAAGGACCTCCCGTGCATTCCCAGAGATAGACTAAAATGTGCCGTCCGATAGTCTCTGGGGCGAACTGAAATACACTCTCGTGGCATCATATATTCGACTCTTGTCTCAACTCCAGGGGGATGCCTACATCCCTTCACCCGACGTTTGTTTGGTTCGCGATTAAATATGTATACGAATATCAAATAATCTTTTATCAATTGATCTACAGCTCAATTATTCTCGTTCTCGCGATTACTAGCAAAGAGCTTTTACAAACATAGGGTATTCGAAATAAAGTATTCTCAGTTGTCATGGTTGTCTGGCCGACCTCCTGGTGGAGCGAGGAGCTCTCAGGTACGGATGGGAATTGCTTCTGGCCTTCAAAATCCACCTGCGAATCACAACAGACATGGTAGTATTGTCTGGCAGACAACCTCCTAGCCTGGGCTTGCACAGGACCAGGCGCCCCTATCCTAGCTAACGGACCCCTAATCGCCTTTCTCGCTTGTATCTGCACTTCGGTCTTGAGCCCAAAGGCTAAGTCTCACTGTACAACTTGCTTTACTCCCTGTAGGCCTCGTTTTCATAGCTCGAGGCCTTCACAGCCTAGGAGTCTCCCGCGGTCCTTTCTTTTACTCCTGGAGTATTCAATTCTTAAAAGATTGTGTCACACCGTCCACAGCGGTCCCTGAGTCACAATACAGAGTCAGTGTATCATACATGCTGGGTGAAGCTTCACAGGTGATAAATATTGAAGATAAATGCCGAATACCCCGAAAGAATGGGTCCACCTTCCAGGTCACCATGCACCTTCACTATCGACCATTCGTTAGCAATCCCCTGTAGATAACTATTGTTATGAAGGACCTCGGCTGCAGTGAAGTGGTGAATATAGCGACAAATGCAGGTATCCCTCTACACCAATGACAATCTGTGTGAAGTGAACAAGTGAATGATGTACAAAGATATCGTACAAAGATACCAAGGCACCGACAAGTAGTAACGATAAATATCTGGAACATCCCGCAACACCCCTTTTTGCTTCCATTATCTTCATCTCCCAGCCTCCCCTCTCTTGTCAATCCTTTCCCTTTCCCTCTCCTTCTCCCCTTATTTCCTTGTTGTGAACATGCATACCTTCTCCTTTGTCGGGGCTCTGGCTCTGTCGGTTTGTGTCTTTGGTCATCCTACTGAGCCCCCTCTTCTATCTCCTCGCCGCGCCGGTGTTGATCTAGAAAGATTTCGATTGGCGCCCAACGCAGAATATGTCGATTACATTCAGCAGACTCCCATCTCTACTGCAAATATCGGCCTAATCGAGCAAAGTTACGTCGAGACTGCCAATCAGCTGGTCAAAGAAACATTCCCCAACGCGACCTTCCGCCTGCGAGAGGATCACTACGTTGGGGACAATGGTGTGGCACACGTTCACTTTCGTCAGACAGTCCATGACCTCGATGTCGACAATGCGGACTTTAATGTTAACGTATGTATTGATACCCTGGCCCTGACCAGCAGTTCAACTAAGCTCATGGAACGTAGGTCGGTAAAGATGGCAAGGTCTTCTCCTATGGAAACTCCTTCTATACTGGCCCGATTCCCAACATCACCCAGGTGACAAGACGTGACTTCATCGATCCCGTGGCTGCGTTGAGATTTGCATTGACACATCTTCAACTCCCCATGAAGGCGGATGGCGTGTCTGCGGAAGCCACGAAGCATCCTCATAAGTACATATTCCGGGGCACCTCTGGGGCGGTCTCTGACCCGAAGGCACGTCTTGTCTACCTCTTGAAGCCTGACGGGACTCTGAACTTGGCGTGGAGAGTAGAGACGGATGTAGAAGACAATTGGCTTTTATCCTATGTGGATGCCAAAACCGCTGAGGAGGTTCATGGTGTTGTCGACTATGTTTCCGACGCCACCCTCCAAGTCTAGTGAGTAATGTGTGGTGTATAGATATTGAAAATGGTCGGAACACTGACTTCAATGATTCATGTTAGTGGTTGGGGATTCAATGACCCTACTGAGACTGACGGCCGTGTCAGTGTTACTGACCCGTGGGATCTGACGGTGTCGCCGTTGACTTGGTTCGGCGATGGAGAGAAAAACTGGACTTCAACACGGGGGAATAATGGCATTGCCCAAGAGAACTTCAACGGTAGACCGCCCTACATTGATAATATGCGTCCCGACAGTCCTACCCTCAACTTCACTTATGCGTACCCGACAGGTGACTCTCCCAAGGACTATATCAATGCTTCAGTTACCCAGCTTTTCTACACAATCAACACATACCATGATCTCTTGTACACACTCGGCTTCACAGAAAAGGCAGGTAATTTTCAATGGACCAACAGAGGCTTGGGAGGCAAGGAGAAGGACTATGTAATTCTGAACGCGCAGGATGGAGCGGGCAAGAACAATGCCGATTTCGCTGCTCCCCCGGACGGAAATCCAGGTCGCATGCGTATGTATATGTTCACACGCACCAAGCCACCTCGGGATGCAGTGTTCGAGTCTGGAATTGCTATTCATGAGTATACCCACGGTTGTAAGTTCACCTGCTTCGACCCCCACTTTCTATTAATTGTTCACGTTAACCTGTGTACCACTTAGTGTCTATGCGGCTTACCGGAGGCCCGGACAATTCCAAATGCTTGAGCGCTTTCGAGTCCGCGAGCATGGGGGAGGGCTGGGGTGATTTTATGGCGACAGCGATCCGTCTCAGGCCTAATGACACGCGTGCAACGGATTATGGAATGGGGACATGGGTTTTTGATAGTCCAAAGGGCATCCGACAGTATCTATTTTCGACTTCGATGGAGACCAACCCACTTAACTATACATCCTTGAATCGAATGTATCAGGTCCATGCAGGTGGAACCGTCTGGGCCTCGATGTTGTACGAAGTTTTATGGAACTTGATTGAAAAACATGGAAAGAATGACGGCCCGCGGCCAGAATTTGACGAACGGGGGGTGCCTAAGGATGGTAAATACCTGGCGATGAAGCTAGTAGTTGATGGCATGGCTTTGTGAGTACATCCCCCCCGAACAGAGATGGAATCGCTGACGGTAGTCGCAGACAACCCTGCAATCCCAACTTTATTCAAGCCCGCGATGCCATCCTAGACGCCGACCAGGCTCTGACAGGAGGCCAAAACAAATGTGAGATATGGACTGGTTTCGCCAAGCGTGGTCTAGGGCAGAAAGCTGTGTATGAAAATGGTAGACGCGTGGACAGCTACGAGATTCCGGGGGATATGTGCAAGAAGAAGGTCTAAGTGCATGATTTCCTTTAACCTTTTGCTTCGTCACCGTGACAAACATAGTTACATTTCAACTTAACTACATGAAGATAGGGTAGCATAATATTACTCACCATTGTGTCCATGCTCCCTACCCTGAAATGTGTGATCCTTTAGACATATCCAGCACCATATGCAACTCACTCACCTCCATCCTTCTTCGCAAAGATCAGCCCAATACGATCAATATCCAGCCCTGAAGCCCCGTCAAACCCAAGCAAAACCCCGTCCCCAACATCTTGCTTGTGCTCTTCACCCCCATCACCACCTGCTTTGAATTTCTCGCCATCCCCTGTGACAATAACAATTGAATCAACCCTCTTCCCTGAACTAACAGAGCTTTCTTTCACCTTCCCTCCGGGGGGCACTACAAGCACCTGATGATCCCCTTTTTCAGCGCCATAAAGCTGACTCTGACTGCCGTCATCCCACGTCCACCGCAGCCCCCGCACAACAGTCTCATCCTCCACCTCTCCGCTCCATGTCTCGACAACCCTTACGGGTATATACTTGAATTCTTCAAAGGGGGTCCCACCTTTGCCCCCTACTGGGGTATTCTTGATTACGCCTGGTGGGGGCGCAGCGTCAAGCTGTTCGAGGAACCATTGCTGGTTCTTAGTCCCGTGCTCGGAGTAGACAAGGATCGGGGTTCCATTTTTCGAATCGGATTCGGAGAGGTCTAGGACTCGGGATGGGTTGGCTGCGGAGTGGATTCTATATTTCTGTTAGATTGTTGATTTGAATTAGTTTTCCATTTGGAAAGAAATACGCGTAGGCATGTTTTGTCTCCGCAGACTCAATCGTCCACCTTGCCCTCTTGTTAGTAGGCGATACAAGACTGCCGGTTGTGAGAACTAGGCCTCCTGTTGGTTGTACGTCTGGAACCTGGTTTTAGTTTGTGGGTATAGAATAGAGGCTGAGGACGTACCGGCAGTAAGATATGTTCCTGTTGCGTCATTCAAGATGAAGAACTGGTTATGGCCTGCGGAGGCAATTTGCCATTTTTGGTGTTTTGCGTCGTGGAAGTGCCTGATGTAGTCAGTTAAGGGTTTTCTACTGGTGAATAGTGTTTGGGTTGGAGAGATGTACATACCAGCCGACAGCCGGGGTACCGTCTTGTCGATGAGCACCTGAGAGGTCGACTACTGTGTCTGTGGCCACGTTGCGGATGACGTAGAGACCTGAGGGCAAGGTTACGTCTGCGATGGTGGACTGAGGCTTAGATGCAGCAGCTTGGGGGGAACCGGAGCCCCAGAGGTACTTGAGCAGAGAGGTCATCTTGCTTATGGGGATAATAGGAAACTGTATAGATGGTTCAGGGAAGAAACAGGTTTGAGGATGAGAATTTTGGAATCTTCTATGAAAATCGTAAAGTCTGTCCGTAGTATGTCATATTTATACAAGGTCCCTACTCAGACTTTACGTTTTCAATCATGACGAAAGCACGCCCATTGCTGTTACACAAGCACACCATTTGTCTGCTTTATTGAAGATTACCTGCTCTCGTCTCGTTGCTTCGGTGGCCGACCAATGGTTGTGAAATGCCGTCATGGACAAGTACTCGATACTCCGCTTCATTCCGGAAGACTATCCCGATTGCTCTTACGTCAAATAACTTGGCCAATTGCCTATGAAGTTTCTTTATTTCATGATTATACCAGATCGTTTATATCTAATGAGAAATATACCGTACGCGAAGTGAAACTCAAGGGCATCCGTGTCGCGCGGGATAAAAGAATGCGTATCTGACTTAGATTTATACAAGCGCAAGCGATCTTGGAAGAATCTGACAGCAGCGTAAATCCTAGTACTAGTATGACAGGAAGCAGCCATCATCCCAGTGTTAAATGTGATTTGTTGTCCTTTTCAAAGCAATGATCAATGTTACATCCGATGGCAGTTATTGACGTTTGCGGCCCGGGAACCAAAAGTACCTATGCCCTAGTGTGGAGTCTGGGTGGAGTAGCATCAAGGCTAGACCACTGCTGTCATAATGATCGGTGCAGTCCTTTCTAAATAAAACCGGCTGGTGTAAAATAGAAACGGCTTGGGCTGGATAATAATATGCCTATTGCTTCGCGATTACCAAAGCCGCATCCGCGGAGAAGAAATGTGCTTCGTCCCTATAAGCAAGTCTTCTATACATCAATACTTGCACATACATCCAGTAGTGGAATGTCTACCTTATGCTAGATTATATTTTGGTAACACCCTGGCACTGATCGTCTTGCTCCGGATGCCAGCGGTGTATTCTTTCCATCGTCAAGGCCAATATCGTCAAGCTCTCCTGTAACACACGCTAAGCATTTCTTCTTAGCATATTTCTGTCCTTCCTGCGCCAGTCAAACTCAAAATCAAAAGGATAACCGTGCGCAAAGCGACGAACTCCACCTGTGCGAGCTTCTTTCCCACACCGGCAGAACCTATTTCTGAATAGGACTGATTGTCCTCGGGCTGGCTTGCGAATCCTATTATACTCCCACTGCAGTCATCCTAGCCCAAAGTCTGCATCTTTAGAGTCAAGAAAGCGCTCGGTCTTGGCCTTGTCCAAGGGCTTTAGGTTGAATGTTACTGCGCCCGGGCTCCAGGACTCTGTTACAAGGGGCATTGGGGTTGAGATTGACTTCCAACTTTTCAGGAAGGATATACAGCTGATCGTGATAGGGTCTACTACTAGATGAGCCTCTTGTTGATTTTGGGGCAGTGGCGAGGGAAGCATACCATAGCGCACAGCGGAAGGACCATTTGCCACACTAGGTGATTGTTGTTCTGATCGAACCTGGACGCCGTATGAACGCCGTATGGTGCCGATGGTGTGATCTTGCACGGTCTTACAACAGTGTTGCTGTGAACAGGATTATAAACAATATACTCAGGGTTGGCTACCTTACCCATACTGAATACGTTGCTCATGTCAGTGTTGAATATAGGACGTAGTATATCTCATGGTCGGATTCCGCGGGTTCCGTAAGGGATCTTGAGTTCGTCGGACTTTAGGTCACAGCCAGGGGCCTGATATCTGGTTATCGGGCATGAGTAACTAAGTCTATCTTGCATTGCTTTCATGCCTCCTTAGGCGCAATAAGACCCACAGACTAGCTACTAAGAGACATGCCGGAAGCCCAATATTTCTTAGCCGAAGAATGGGAGGAACCATATCATTTTTACCACGAAGAATGCGTTATGGCTACGTATCAGTGAAGCCCTAGGATACACAGGACCTTGAGGCAGCTACCAAGAGGAAGAGAATGTTACTTGCTGACAATGTGTTATTGCCGGCGAGAGGCCTCGGAAATTTTCAATCTCTCTCCATGAAGCCCTGGTGGCAGAATAGAACTTTCATGGGCAAATTTGAACTAACACATCTTTTCCAGTATAACGATAGAAAGAAAAAGGAAAAAGTCAAAAACAGCACTGACGTCTTGTGCAACGTTTCCACGAAGCGTTCCAAAAGCGTCTCACATCATACATCCTGGCAGGAGCAGATACTTCGCTATTACCCTGGCTAATCACCCACATGAGACGCGTAAGATCTCTCTCGCGTACCCAATTAATATGGCAGCCTTAGCTGTCTGCGAAAGTAACTTTAATGTCCGATTAGATATTCGAGCATTCCCGGTACAGAAAACCGCCATTGTCCTCATGGGAAAGCTTGCGACGATCTGAAAGTCACCTGCCAGAAGGCTTATGGGACATTTACAGGCTTCAAATGTTCTCATTCGCTTCTTCCACCTCTCAGATGTAGGTTCTCACTATTGGATGATTATGGGTGCTCTCCCCACGAGCTTACCTAGTATAGAGTGCAGGCAAACGTCATCCTCAGCTACGTCATGGCCCTACATTTAAAGAGTAAGCCGCCACTGAATGAACATCTACGTGATTCTGGCCTTTATGCGAACACAAAAATAAAGCGTCCAGCGAGTTACGCTAGCTATCATTGTGGTGCATCCACGATCGGAATAAACGTTTATACCCGGCCGAATGGATAGCAATGCATGTTTCAGAAGATGCAGATAGTCATATCAAACATGTTTTCACTATCAATGTAAGGGACACTCTATCAAGGCTTGGCCGAACTCCAATACCTACCGAGTGACCTCCAGTTAAGCGCAACCAACGAAGAAACATCATTATAACCATGCCATAAACTCCATGCAGAACACCGAAAAATATATAACTCTGGTGATTAGGTACAGTATAATTTTTATATAGGCTGAATGAAAGAGCAACAAGCAATATAGAAGATGCCAGCGAGTGTGGTATATAGAATACAATGAGTGTATAATGCGATATCCAAACCTGGCCTTACCGTTCACCAAGCCTTCTCTGCAGTATTCGAAGTTCAGCCTGGAGACCGATGATGTGTTCGTATGCATGTTGCAGAATCAACGCTTTGCGACCGGGTCTCAAGCCCTTCGCCATCTTGGTATCGGTCGGCGTGGTCGTGGTGTCTTGTTTAGTGACATCTTCGAGTTGTTTGAACCCTGCATTCAGGTTTGCGCGATAACGCTTTTCGACCTGATTATGTGCTTTCTTTCGAAGCATGCAGATGTTCGGATCATTATCCTTGTCCGAAGATGTGGACCGCCGACGCTGTGATGTGTTGCTGTCTTGCGATGACCGCCGTTTTGGCATTGGCTTGGGCCTGATGGGTGTCGCCATGGAGGGCGACGGATGCGACTTGGGGCTAAGTGGTTCACGTTTCAGTTTTCGCATCGGTCGCTGTGGAGTGTTCGCACCCGGATGTTGGTACGTAGTAGAAGCTGTTGGATCGTTGACATCCGTCTGGTCATGCTCTTGGTATACGGTGGCTTGAGGGTTGCTGAATGGCACAGGTGTGTGATACCCAGTTGCACCAATGCCCTGCAGGTTGATGAGCACCATCGCAAAATTAAGGTGGCAAACCACGCGATCTTACATTTGGGTAGCTTGAGGGACACCAGTAGTCTTTCGTTATGTCAAGGCTATACGTCTCGGTCGATGAGACATCTGCAAACTGCAGCTGAGCGTTCTGGGGTGGTGGGACGGGCTCAGCGCTGGTGAAGCCCGCCCCAAACATAGACCAGCCAAGAAGGCGATCATATTCAGACGGTGGCAAGGATGGGAAATTCATTGGCCACTGATCGCTCTGGTCTGGCGAGAGGTTGCGGTTGGCATAGTACACAGCCATGGTGAGATATTGTTCAATCTCCTTGCCGTAACTTGCAAGTATATAGAGGGTATTAAATAGAGGTAGCGAGAAAATAATGATAATATTTCCGGTGCGTCTCGACTACTCATATGGCGGCAGGAGACGGTCTAGTCGTGGTCTATTAAAAAGGTCGCTTCCATCCGCCGCAGTATAATTAGCCCCGGCGGCGTCAGTGGCTGGAATGCCACTGCGAGTGCTCCAAAAGCCAAGACAAAGTTCTAGTCCCTCGCTTCAAGCTCTAAGACGTAACTCAATTTGCGTCTCATGAGAATGGGAAAGCCTGGAGAACGCTCGGGATTTGAGTCTTGGCCCGGTTTAGCTTTGCGCCTGGAGGTCAGTTCCAGCCCCGGCCAAAGTCAAGATTGTTGCCACTCATACTGACAGGGTCACTGCCCCACTATCGGTTAACATGTCCTATGTGACTCAGGGGAGTTGAATATGACGTGGAGCTCTTCACTTGGTTCGGGAGCTGGTGCCAGTCAATATACTGCCACGAATCTCGCGGTCCCAAATGGCTGTACTTCACAGCAGTAAGCCATCCTGACCAAATCAGGATTCCAAGTACTCATCAGCGCAGTGTTACACTGCAGGTGAATTTGTGAAATGATGGTAACTGATTACACAATCTACAGGACCTATTACCCATTGTGGACAGGCACTGTACAAAGTTACGGGCCACTCTACCGATCATAGGGGTATTGATTTTGTTCGAAGGCAATAAAAACTTGCAAACCCTGACATGTAACGTGGTCAGTCATCTCGGAGAGGAAAGAGGGAAGTATAGTCAAGGGACTGGGCTACCACTGGGAGGCATTGTACGATAGCTAGACTAAGGACAAACCATCACTTTAGCATCTTTTTGCACAAGCAGTGGAAGGAAAGAAAAACCAGCTTCATCCCAGGACGTTATATTCGTTCTTCCGCGATAGGTTTTCTCCAAGGTCATTAACCATCTATATGAGCCTTCAGTCTTCCCTGCTATTTTCAGTAATATTCAGTCTGTATGTTCAAAAGCAAAGACATGTTTATCACTACGTAGCCGTGTAATGTTATATGAGCAGAGTTCTATACTTTATCCAAGTTCATATCATGACACATAAACTGAGTAATTGGCTTCCTAGGCGGCTATTTTGTCCACCCACTGATCTCCCCATATCTGACGCTATAGACGGTACTAATAGTGGCCATCCAAGACAGTTGCCCGGAATTGAAATCCTAGCCCCTGCCGTCAATGTTCCAGATAGCCCCATACATTGAAGCACCACTTTGGATTGCTGAACCTTGTGTGAGAGTAACACATACCGGCCGGATCCGAAACTCAAGCCATCGGAGGTAAGGGTATGTGATCTTATCCAGCTCTTATTAAACTTTGTCTCACGAACCAACGGTGGGGAACATGCTGTGCCATCTCAAACGGTGACATTTCAGAGATAGGTCCTCAGGTCAACCTAACCACAAACTATATACTGGGGCAATCTGTTCGCAAATATACAGTACTAGCATCTCAGGACCATAGCAATATCTGTTCTAAGATATATCACACACGTGTTGATCGCTTACACTGAGAAGGCTTGAGACCGTCATTCCGAGGCGCCTGCTCTGATTGTAGAAATATATTCTCGTGACTATGCTCTCATTAACTTACATACTTTGGAAATGGACTATACCCTAGGTGTTTGTCTATATATTTATGGTTAACCTTAGGTATTGTACAGCGTATGGGGGCGGCTTAAGGGTAATAGTGCTTGAAGGTGACAACTACTACTTCAACAACTCTTGCTGTAGGTTTCGAGTAATTCCGAGTTTTGGCAGTACAACTACATTTGCCTCTACAAATACAATATTAGTACATGCGACCACAGGGTGTGGAGAACAGGGCTTCCCGTCCGCTCAGCCGTACTTAAGCCACACGCCGGGAGGTTAGTAGTTGGGTGGGTGACCACCAGCGAATCCCTCCTGTTGTATGTTTTTTTAATTTTGTGAAATTAAATTTCGCTGCTTGATTCTTTACTTCGGAGTACGCCCAAGAGCGTAGTTCCAGCACTCGACCCATGGGACTGTTATCCAAGCCTCGCCAATTCCGGGAGTCGTCCACCGTTCGTTCCATCAACCACCAAACTCATATCTGCCATTTGTTTCTGGTATGCCCCCTTAGTGACTGTAAGAATTTTCTTGATATCTATTCATTTCGCATTGAATTGTGACTCGTCGATAACGACATGAAATTCATCGAGGTATTTCGCACCGGTCTCGTTTGAGGAACCAGCCGAATCCTGAATGCTCCTAAGCCCCGATGGTCTATATGTCATGAAAAGTACGCCTTTCGTTCCTCTCTTCTGGCAAAACTTATGGAGACGTAATCGTCAAGAGGATACTATGGTTAAAGGGCCTTTCCTCCCCCCAGAGAACCGTCAGGCTATCGGACGAGAACCAACAAATTAAGGTGTTCGCTCGGCGATGGAATTGAATGGACTTGACCCGGAGTCTAGCCCCGGGCCTATAGGGGCCTAGGTTCCAGTCGAACCTGCAGCTACCCCAAGTTTAAGTGGCAAGCCCATGGTGCCAAGTGGGGAGTACCATATCCTACAGGGCTGGCATTCGGTTCCGAGGGCCGCCTCTGCGGGGGTCACATGCCGCGGAGCGACCTAATTCAGTTTAGTTCGTGCCTGTGAAGTCATGAAGCTTGACATTCTTCAAGGTAATGAAGCCGGCAATTCGGCTACCCTGACTCGTATGCACTGAATGATATCGGTGTATGTCGTACTGTATTTGGTATTCCATCCTCAGCGCTTCATGCTCAAGATCATGGAACTTGCGGCACTCTAAACGTCCTTCGGAATATCTAAGATCTGCTTCAGACCCAAGCATTCTTCACTACTGTCCCATGTTCTAAATCTTGGGTTATTGAAGCCGACGTATCCCAGAGGGCCATGCTGTGCTGCCACATTTACACTTACCTCAACCCTCGGTCGCGTCTTGTATGTTCCTCTCATATAGAAGTTGGCGTAAGATGTGAATTGGGTTTTTGTAGAAGACAAATACCCCGTCTGAGCGTGGGCCAGGAATTCCAATAATAGCTGAAGCCAGATCATATTTACACCGAGTAAGAGTGTATGTAGACTCCCTTCAAGTGCAACATTATTCAGGTGAAGAGATTGATGTATTGCGGGGACGCTGTGACGACGCCGAGTCTTGACCGTACCATCCCTAAGACTAAAGATAATCTGCAAGGCTGACTATGCTCTCGTGTGGCAGTCAGCCTGACCCATGTTAACGTTTCAGCCTCTCCTGCCGCGCTGCAACAAATCCTAAACTCAATCGATACAAAATGCAGATGATACATGTGATTAATCCTTATCTCTGTTTGCCGGATGCTAAAAACAGCCGGCTTCATTGCATAGTGTTAGCTAAGGTTGCGCCGTGTCGTGTGTGGCAGAATTCAATGCTCTATGGAGATTTATCTTGCAGACCTTCTTACACCTTGTGATGTATGTCCGATATTGGAGTCTAAAATGACAGAGCGCTCGTATCAACGTACAAAACACACTGTTCGATTACAGCGTATCTTGAACCCAGACTGAGTGGATATTGACAAGGCTAAGATGTGGCAAAGAGAAGGATTTCGAGCTGTGCGAGTGATATTGAAACAATTCATAGGCTATGAACTTTGAAGGGCCTGTATGCATCCCACCCGCTTTGTCCGATGATTCGCCATAGAACTGTTGGAGAACGGTACCTATCGGTGGACTCCCTCTGTATTCTTCACCCCATACTCTAACTATGGGCACCACCTATGCGATTCCTGCTATTACAACTTATTTCTTTCATCCAGTGTTTTCGTTGAGTTGATTGCATCCCCAGAAGAACAATACGTACTCTGTATTATGCCTGTGGAGTCTTTGCGAAAAGATAAAGGGCGTTCGCCAAGAGACCCTTCGTCAATATATAGTATTGTTTCAATCACAAGGGCCCAAGCGAAGTACTAGAAGATAAGCGAATGGAGAAATTCCAAGTCTATTTGTTACATCGTTGGCGATCTTAGCCTATCGAAGCCAGGAATGGCCAGAATACGAGATTGCCAAGAGGCACTGGTGGAGTTGTGGTGGTCCCAGTGCTGGCTGTTTCAAACGTTTCTCAACTGATGGGCTACTACTTTATGAGATTTACTTTAGAAACAAATGGTATGTGCATCAGAGTTCAAGTTGGGTATTAATGAGCTACTACTTTCGTCCCCCGTTTGACCAGCTCTCAGGGCCGCTACCTGGAACTGACGACCCTATGCCCAAATCATCATTCTGTCCCGGATAAGCTGGCGGAGGAACATCAGGAGTATTGGTGGTAGAATAATTCTCCGGTGGAATTGTTGGCACCCTAGTCATTCTCTGTTTTCTGCCGGAGCAGCAGCAGAAGTATACACCAATCGCGATTCCAATAACGGCGGCCGAAACTCCAATACCGATACCAATTTTCTCGCGCTTGTACAGATATCCCCTGGGAAGCCGTAAAGATGCCGTCGGGATTGGGACGATCGTCGATTCGGCAGCTTTAAAGCGGATTTGTATCGGGGTTGCCGTTATGGCGTATGCGGTTCGAGTGGTGGTGTGTGTAGCGCCAGTCATGGTAAGGGCGATCCTCGTGTTTAAGGGGCGAGTGCAGCTGCCTTGGCCATTGCAGGCGAAATTGCTATAGTCCATGAACACTCTGAAGATGCATTAAACGGATTTACGTTGTGAACTTACTCCGGACAGCACATGGCAGTCGTCTCAATGCGCTGTTTGGAGGTTGGCAATGTACAAGTCTGGTATCCCGCCGGGCACATCCCAGGGCTGTAATAAACATCATCTCGCCAATTTGGGGGGCAACATTCATTTCCTCCCGGTCCTTCACAGCCCATTTCGAGCTTAGGGTAGTAGCCATAGAAATCTCTTGTGCGAATATCGGAGCAAGAAGCTGGAGGAGTAAAGCGTGTGGTGAGCGGGCCGAGGTTTGTCGCCGTCGTGTCCAGCCTGATATCGTATTTGGACGCCGCTACGGGCCCCGCTGACAGGATAGACAATAAAAGAAGTGTTTTTTTAAGTACCATCATGATGGACAGGCTCGGAAAAGCACTGGAACAATGCCTTTGACAGACTTCGCTGACATCGTCCCTGTCTTATATTATTTCACTCTGTACACAAGCGGTGGGTACCGTGCCCGATTTCTCGGCTCCTCGTATTCCCATCACTGTGATGGGCCACTCGCGGCTCAACGAACAAGTAGCGGGTACTGATCTGCACTGGGCAAATAACGATCGGAGGCATATACTGCGAAATGTCGAGCACTATCGATTGTAGAATCTTGGCTTTAGAGGGCGAAGTCATGGCGCCTTTGGAGGTATTGCTACTGCGCCACATCGACTTCGCCACGTCGGTGATCACCAGATAATTTTCTCATGAGCCGTTATTGCCATCTTATCTCTGGATGCAGATCAGGTGGCACCCTCGAAGGATCTTGACTCAACCCTAACGCCTTCGTTATCTTCTATGAAAAGACGAGGGCTTGTCCAAGCAAACCCTAAGGAACGTAGTTCACGCTCACCAAAAGGACAAAGCATAAACCTTTGGACAAACAAAAGTGACTTCACTGCTTAGCCAAAATGCAATAGGGGGTAGTCTAGTACTCTACGTACGAGAGCTGGAGGGAAACTTATTTTATATCGAGATGTCACATGACCCGCCCCCCTGGATTTAGCCCTGGCGAATATGAGTAATGGACTGAGAATCAATCCTGCTTCTCTTCTTACGTGAGAAAAGATATCTTTGCGCTCGGTCATAATAGGGACATCCTTAACCCCGATGTAAAGCCGCCATTCTCCGTTGCTGGCAGGGCATTCCGGCTGAAGGTTCCTGATTGGTTTGGCATTCGGCTCCTTTGGCCGTAGCTCAGTTAAATAGTACTTAAGCTAGCTACTACTAATCAATGAATGCATGAAGATGAACGCCATTTGGCCCACTAAGTTCCGTTATCTCCGGATCTCTACGTCGCGTTCTTATTTAAAGGACGTTTGTCCCCCACAACTATTTGTACTATTACCGGCCACATTTATATCCTACTACTTTCTAACACAAGATATCCTCCTAGCAATGGCACCGCTAGTCTGGTTCATTACCGGAGCCTCGTCAGGACTTGGTCTATCCCTTTCGCTGTACGCATTAACAGCCGGCCATTATGTCATTGGAACCGTTCGCAACGCAGCGAAGTCCGCAGATGCCGTCCAGGCCTTTCAGGATAAGGGTGGAAAGATCGTGGAATTAGACGTCACGAAAGCCGATGCCATTCCCGAGGCAGTTAAACAGGCCGAGAGCTTTTACGGCAAAATCGATGTATTAGTAAACAATGCGGGGTACTCGTTATTAGGCGCCGTGGAGGACCTGAAGTAAGTTGCTGCTCCTCTCATAAAAGCCAACAGTGACTGATATTGCGGTACAGCGACAAAGAGAGCGCCCTCCAGATGGAGACCAACTTCTTCGGACCTCTCCGAGTAATCCGTGCCGTGCTGCCCGGTATGCGCGGAAACCGCAGCGGAACGATCGTGAACATTAGTAGCATCGCTGGTCAAGATGCTTTACCTTCATGTGGACTGTATTCTGCCAGTAAATTTGCGCTGGAAGGTCTATCTGAATCATTGAGTCGTGAGCTTGCGCCCTTCGATATCTCAGTGCTGGTGGTTGAACCCGGTGCTTTCCGTACAAATTTCCTGTCGGCGGTTCAAAGGAACGAGAGTGGCCTTAGCGAGCCCTATAAAGGTGGGCCGGTGGACATAATGCTGGGTAATTTCGAGTCAGCACAGGGCAAACAAAAGGGAGATCCGCAGAAGGCGGTCGCGAGGATTTTTGAGGTTGTCACTGGCGAGGGGGCCGCTGGTGGGCTTAAGGGGAAGGTTCTGAGATTGCCACTGGGTCCGGATTGCGTGCAAAGAATGCAGGCGAAACTGGATAAGGCTTCTGCTGATCTTAATGCTGCCCGGGAATTCGCACTGAGCACCAACTATGATTAGGCATCGACATGGGAACATAGAAGTGGGATTAACTACGATGGAGACTGCGGTATACGTAAATACTACATTTATTAGAATATGACACCGATGATATTGGCATTATCAGAAAAATGATCGCATTGGTGTATCACACTGCGTGAGACAAGAAAGTCTACCCTGGTGCTGCCCTCATTAAGTATGGAAGCTGAGCAAGATCCCCTTATCACGATGATGATGGCATGTTTTGTTCACGGAGAAATTCCTTGGGTAGACCTACCTTCCTGTTTGACTGACTACTTGCCATCATTGTAGTAACGGAGGTTCTACTTTCATACTAAACTTCCGACTAACTAGGTGGTGAACTGGACTAGGTGTCTATGGGAGGGATCACACCTGATAAGCGCCTATTTGAGCACTGCATTGTACGGACGATCCGACCGGCTCTGGGAACGGAGAAGGTAGTGAACAAGAAGCCCGATTATTGTTCCTTTCACCGGCGATGTACTATGTATTCAATCATAGAGGAGTTTACCTGGATGTCGTCTACTAACATGAAACATTGTGTTCATCGTAATGCTAGCGAGCTAAGGTCGGGCAATATCGCATATTTATAGGAATATCTAGAACGAAAGCTTTGACTACATTGGATCTTGAAGTATTTATTCCCAAGGAAAGGTACTAATGATAAATGCAGGCGTCTGCCAGGAGCATGTACATGTAAATGCAGCATGAAACGCGTAGGGTCACAATTTTTCCGTCGGTGTCTTCTATCCCGAGAAGACGCCAAAGCGGGGTTTCTCATCCTAAAGCAACTCAACGCCGCGGTTAAGACTGAATGAATAAGTATTAGCTATACTATGAAGGATTGCACAAGCCCGTCTTATTTTGCAAACTACAGCTATCGACCAAGCGGTATCAGACTTCTCAATGCGCGTTTTAGATATTGCATACATAGGGCTAGCTGTCCTCCAGCTCGCGCGCGCCTGTGCGACAGACGAAGACTGCAGCCTCAATGGTGTCTGTATTAGGAGCAGCGATGGTCCCAAGAACAATAATGGACGAGGTATCCTAAGTAAAACATGCAAATGTGACCCCGGCTGGTTCGGCGAAGATTGCGGTAGGCTGGATCTTGCTCCGGCTACCAGGTATACAGGTTACAACTACACGAATGTTACCGACCCGAGCTACTACGGCAAGTACGGCAACTCCTCCTGGGGAGGGCAGATTTTGCAGGACCCAGTCGACCCTACCCTGTTCCATCTATTTGCTTCTCAATTCAGCTACGGCTGTGGCCTCAGTGGTTGGAGACCACACTCTTTTATAATGAGGGCGGAGTCACGCAATGGACCGCAGGGCCCCTACCATTTCGCCGACACGGTGGCTCCAGCCTTTCGCCATAACCCTTATGTTTTCTTCAGTCCAGCGGACAATAAGTATCTCATGTATACCATCGGCGTGGATGCCCCGAAGCCGGAGAAATGCCAAAGCATCTCGTACACAAAGTGGCCGAACAACATCTCCGTCTCCAGTTCTGATAGCATTCGAGGGCCTTGGACGCCGTTTGAAATGATTCTTAACTCTGAAGAGCCACAATCGACCAACCCTGCTCCGTGGCCACTTTGGTCATCGGAGGACCCAACCAGCCAGGTTATGATGGGAGTGGAAGGAAATGCCATTTTCGTCGCCGACAGATGGGACGGCGAATACAAGTTGTTGTACACACAGAAATGGAACACGACCAGATATAGCCCCACGTGGACCGAAGACCCGTTCTTCTGGCGCGACAAGCGGGGGAACTGGCATACCCTGACGCACTGGATGATCGATATTGTTGAACACGATGGGCAGAAATGGCCTCGAGTCGGTGCTCATATGTACGCCCGCAATCTGATTGGGCCCTGGTATTTCAAGTTGCAGGAGGCTTTTAACTCTACTGCCACGTATACTGATGGGTCGGTTGAGACCCTGAAGCGCCGTGAGAGACCAAAGATCTTCTTCAGCGACGATGGCGAGTTGACTCCGCTTTATTTGATCAACGGGGTCCAAAGTATGAATGAGACCTCGCGCAGTTACACACTTATTCAGCCCATTGGGATGAAGTGGAAGCAGTATGAGAGAGACCTCGGCTTGTTATAGTGATTGTTAACGATGGTATCTGAGAAAGAATGGTGCTTATAGCCGGGTAGGCAAACATTCAGAGGACAGCGTATATACCCACGATACAACAATGTGGGCACCTGGGTACAAATTAAAGTATGCACATGCGCACATTAGGAAATGTAGCTTGTATCGTATTTTTAGGGAGCTAATTAAATATGAATTAGTAAGGAGTGACAGTTTCGAGAAGGCTCATAAGTGCACAATACAAAGACATTGCGCCATACACCGCTCCCCGGAAATCCATTGCTCCAGGTCTAAATAAACACGTATCTCGACCATTCCAGGAGGTCTGCCGATGTAAACACGATGTCGTGTTCCATTAGGGGAATCGCAGGGCGGCCAATGACTTTATAGAACTCGAGTCGCAGAGGGGCGCCCAGAACCATTGGAGGATTCGCCTGCTGGTCAATCATGGTGGCCCACACTTTGTGCGCCTGGCATACCGGACCAGGCTGTACCTGAGTCTGCGGAACCTACATGGGCACGTACTTTTCGATTTCTACCTTCTTCGGGTTCCTCGAGACCTCAATGATCAATACCATCTGAACCTCACCATTCGAGTTCGAGATCCACCATGACGCGTCGCACCGAAGGCGGGGCATCGATTCAGACACGCCCGCTTCAACGACCAGCAATGGCCAACCGCCGGGTCTTATCAAGTTGTTGATCTAACTCGAGTCGCCCTCCTTACTGTTGGCAGTTGGTCCGGTGCACTGGGTAGCCCCCAGTGCCTGGAATTCAAGATCCCCTACACCCATTCTAGCCACCTTGCGTATAAGGCGGCCGCCTATCGTCGCGTGGGCTTTTTCTTGTTGCTTCGAGGGGACCTTCACAATCAGCGTTTCGATGTCAGGAAAGTACGTGAATCGAATAGCACTTCCGATATTATCACGGTTTTGCTCGATCGATTCAAATTCCCGCTGCACAACGTGTTTTAGGCAGATGTATTGGTTCACGTCACGTCGCGATAGGGCATCAGCTGCCGACATAACGCGTGCTTTCAGGTCTTGAAAGCTAACGTAGGTCACGGGAGGATAAACGCCTGTCATAGCAAGTTAAGAGGATGAGACTGCCATGGTGCTTCCACTCTGGAATAGAGAGAGGGCATTGCGAATTCTTTCACCATTGTAACGATTTGTAGTAACTATTACTCACGACATGGATCGAAGATTTATCACGCCGCAAGATCTCCAAATAACCTGCCACCGTGTTATGCACGCGCCTATTCCATGTAGGCAATGCGACAACATTCACAGTCGGCATTAAATCGAGCCATAGCTATCGGTCTAGCATCAGACATGGCCAGGATTGAGTGTAACCCGTCGATACGGACTACAGTCAACTCGTTGGCCGCCTAATTTATTGCCACCTGGTGGCTGTCTGAAGACATGTTTACCTCCAAGCTCGCACTAAATGCGTCATAGTTTATTTAGACACGCGTTGCGTCTACTTGCCCATCCTCTGAGAGACTCCTGGCGAGTAGAATGCCCACTCCACGGGGGAGTTGGTCTCGTATGAGGCGTTAGGGCCTGGTAGTCGCAAGGATTTCGCTCTTTAGGGAATAAAAATCCTGCTGTGGGGTGGTAGAGCGTCAATTCTTTGCACTGCTACGCAGCACGCAGGTAGACGAGGTTTGGGGTTCTTGGGTTGTAGGATGGACTTCCTGGGGGTTGGAGAGATATGATGGTGATGATAATGGTGGAGAAAAGAGCAAGTACGCCGGAAAAGACAAGTAAAGTTAAGTGAACAATTACGTACAGTATCACTGAGAGATTATCTAGGAGGGGTGAAGTGTTGATTATCCAGGGTGTGAAGACAACAAATGTTAATCTTTCACAGCGGGAATCAGTATTCCTAGGCCATACATAGTGAATTGTTCCCTGGTTGATTTGACTTTTATCGAAGTTTAACAGCGGTTGCACAGCGCAACGAATATTATCTTGATCTTCAAAGAGTATATACGTCCAGTTTACCATTCGAGAACGCTGGGTAGTCCATGAGTGGTTACGTAGATTCATGCTGTAACTACGGTAGGCCCCAACACCTCGTGTGACCGCAGTATGGAGAACGCCTATGGTACTGTTAGGCTTATTGGTAGCAAGTAGTGGCAAGGATATGTCTGCCTATGGACGATGCGCGTTGGTGAAACGCTATGAGAAAGCAAGGAGGGTCTCAGAGCGGCGTACATGGCCAAGCCGCTTACTGGCTCCGTGAACGAATACATATCTTCCTGCCACTTGGATAGCAACACTCATCAACATACTAACTAGCAAAACCCCATCGACAGGTTCTTCAATCCAGTGTACATGGAGAGAAAATCCTCATCACCCATGGCCCCCACATTCATGGTGTCCGCACCAGGGAAAGCCATCGTCTTCGGTGAACATGCAGCAGTGTATAGTAAGCCCGCTATTGCCGCCGCGATCCCTCTCCGATCCTATCTCCTCGTCACGACCCTCTCCAAATGTCGACGTACCGTCCAGCTGAATTTCAGGGACATTGGTTTAAATCATACGTGGGAAATCGACCCTCAGCCATGGAATGTCTTCCACCAACCTTCTAGGCAAAGGTTCTATTACTCTGATGTCAACTCCCTCGACGGTCAGTTCCTCGAAGCCACCATGTCACATGCAGAGGCTGTGTCGAAGCACCTTCTAGAGCAGGAGCAAAAAATGCACATCAAATCTGCAACCACCATCCTCTACCTCTACCTCTCCTTCTCGTCGACACCCAACAACCGCGCTCCACCGCTATACAGGTGGACAAGGTGAAAGCACTCAAAACCAATTACCCTGAAATAGCAGAGACCATCTTAAACGGAATTGGCAAAATTGCAACTTCGGCACTAAAGCTGATTTCGTCGGCTGATTTCCATGGTAGTGGTGCCTCTGATGCTCTCGGACACCTGGGAGCCTTGATTGGTATGAACCATGGGTTCTTGGTTTCGTTAGGAGTCTCTCATCCCCGTCTAGAGCGCATTCGCGAGCTCGTGGATTATGCCAATATTGGTTGGACAAAACTCACCGGTGCTGGAGGTGGTGGATGTACTATCACCCTCCTCCGACCAGATATCGAAGATCAAAAGATTGAAGTGCTGGCGCGCAAGTTCACTGCAGAAGGATTTCGGAAATATGAGACTATCATATGTGCCAACGGAGTTGGGGTGCTTTGGCCTGCCGTATTCAGAGACGGCGTTGATGGAAAGCCTGGCGAAGAGATTGATCAGGAGAGATTTGAAAAGGCTGAAGGCGTTGAAGGTATCAACCAGCTGGTGGGAGTGGGAGTGCAAGAAAATCGCGAAGGCTGGTAGTTTTGGACGCGAGATGTTTCTCCAAGATGAAACCGAGCTAATTTTGGGTTCTACCTCTTGTGAATCGAACCCACCAAGGCCGAGGTTGAAGAGGTCAAACAAGACCAGAACGTTCATCATGATCAAAATGAGAAGCTGCACGATGAAGCCAGAGCTCTGCGAGCTCAAATCGAAGCTATTCCACCGGCGCCTCCGTCCAGATCATGGGCCGCAGTAGCAGCTAATGGCAACACTTTTCAGAAGCTTTCTGATGCATACCCCGACACGTACGCATTCATCGGGTCTCAACTGGCCCCGTACATTATATGCTACGCTACGTACGTCAGCGCCACTCTTCGCTCTCGCATAGGTGCACATAGCCCTGCAGGCTCCCATGCCCAGGACTGTCTTGAAAGAGCATCAAAGGCTATATCTAGGACCGAACCGTGCCCTGGGGGTTATATTAAACTTATTCAAGGTGATTAACATCGATATTGACGATTCAAGCATCGCAGTCTCCAGTCCGAATGAAACGATTGCACCTGTGACTTACCAAGGCGACGACATGCGAGACGCAAGACATCATGCTAGCCACCACGCAGGACTCTCTCAGGACCAAACCAACCACTCCCTTTGTGTCATGATGTACACTATGCATTTCGACCTTATGACATTGTCTGGATTATTCAAAGTTGCGACCTCACCGAGCCGGTTAACCTGCGATACCTAGAGAGCCGGCACAACACGACCATTGCCCGCACGCTCTGACTACGGATTATCTGGCTTTCTCAGTGCCACTGGATCCGGTGTTTGGTAGGGATAATTTTGCTGGAGTAGCCTGGCGGCTGGAAAGAAAAGAGTTCGTGGTCAGGCCACCAAATGTTATGGTTGTAGGGATGGGGATCTTCGTTCCGCAGTTGTCATGTAGCTAACCGAGTGAGTTCAGGTTAAGAAGTATACAACTTCGATTGATCTGACTGTGACAGGCCGGGATATGCTTTTTCAATATTTATACTTATCTAGATGCGGTCGCGCATGTAGAATGTCCAACTTTACGCAATCGCGACCGTCGGCAGTCTAATTGAGCTTCTCGGTATACCGATTGCGCGTTCCCGATAGCTTTGTATTTATCTCCGCTTAACTCCAGCGAAGAGAAAACAACAATCTTAGGACAACTACACTTGCCCCCAAGCCCGGTCCTTGATTTACGATTTTCCTAAGTCTGAAATAGTCATTTACACCAGCTAAATGCATCTAGCCTAGACCGGTTTATCATGGCTGATCAAGGGCCTAGTCGCCCCACATGTTACTATTTAATCGGTCTACTCCAGAGTAGGTGGGCCTTGGGTCGATCGACCCCCCACAAAGTACAGCCAAGACAAATCAATCCTATAGGGAATAAAATGAGATATCCATTAAGGATTCAAGTCCTCAGTATGGAATCTGGAGAATCGCTGGGGATGTTAGTATACATTCCTGCGACTTGAAATGTTGCTGTGTGTTCTTGCATCATCTGAAATATATATCAGTAGATAACCAAGGTGACGCTAAAATCGTGCAGAAATATTGTCAACGAAAAAAATCCGAACCAGATCTTTCCAAATTAGCTTTTATCTAGAATATAACGATGATTTTGATGTAGACAAAGTCATACAAAACGTCCCAAGGTTCCACAATGGCTTCGTGAAACAAAGGCTCTGGGAGATGAAGAAATGGCCCAACAACATGCTACGGCAGTACAAATATGTGAATGTGTCTAGCACCCTACCATTAGTATTATGCCAATGCACTAGTATCAAGGTTTTGAAGAAATTCACAGTTAATAAAAGTCATTATTCGTACACAGTCGTGACCCTTGACCTGCTGAATATTCACGCCGTACCGCCCTACCCAGAAGCAAAATATTACCCATCTATCATAAGCCGACCAAACAACGCCAGGACCCATCTAAAAAGGTGAATTTGAAAAAAAAACCGGACTCATGTCTTGACCGTATGGCCGATCGGGGGTCCCAGATAATACTCTGCAAAATCTTTCAGGCCCTGGACGTTCTTGTAGCGAAGATCAAAGATCTTAGTTGCGCGCAAAATGAGATTGTAACCATCAAAGGCGGCTTCGATTATACGCGCATGTTGTGGTCCAACGATCGAGAAAAGAAGGACCTGCATGAGTTGCGCGATGGATTAGTTGCTTGGCCATGGGCGCGGAGAGCATAACGAACTTACCGGTGCTACCATATGTCGGATGAAACGTCGCTTTCTGAATTGTGTGATCATCAAGCGAAGGGCTAATAGCAGTTCCCCTCGTAGTATTGCCCGATCAGTCGCATTCACGTTGTTGTACACAATGGCCTTCACATGGGGGTAATCCGGGCCGCTAATATCGGTCATCGAAAGCGTTCCGAATGCAGGTTCATCGTCCTGAAAGAGGCTCTTGTAGGTGGTATAATCGCCAACACTAATGCGCTGCAGTTAGCGACACAGGACCCTGCACAGTAACGCCAACATGGTGATTTACTCTTTTGAAGACCAACCCCCTGGTATTCCACCACAAGTCCCCTTGAATATGTACGATCCCAAGTAGTCGCAGAAGGCCATCGCGCGATCGTAGGGGCGCAACCAAGGTTCCAACTGCTTGTACGATGGATCGGACTCAGAGGGTAAATCCGGTATTGCTCTTCAAGGTAGTCATCATCGGGGTCAGGAAGCGACGTGTATCGAGCGAAGAAGGACGGTTGTGAATCTGAGCTTCTGAGCGTTATGGGGTGGAAAGAGATGTTCAACCCGTTCAGTTCGGAGAGGTCGATCTGGGGGGTTTCAAGTTGTTCAATGGTGCGTTCTAATCGGGATATGAACTTGCGCCGTTCTAGGCGCATCGGAGGTTCGGTCGCCATGAGTATTGTTGTTCTGGAGGCACAGTCTGACCCCAAGACGACTACTCGTTAGGGGATGGTGTCGGGCTTATATTTGGTCCTTCGTTGTTGCATCCGTTGCTGGGCGACCGCCTTGGAAAAGCTGTGGGTCCGACAAGTGAGCCGGCGGCCTTAACGCTCAGGCCTCCGCTCGGCCCGCCATCTCCAACCCTTCGCGCCATGAGACAGCCAATCTTGATGCAACAATTGTTTTGCCGCCACGCCAGTGTACACTTAATGGCTGGCTACGGGACGCTGCAAATTCACCTACTCAGTCGCCGGTTAGTCCTAGACCAATGATCGAGTGCATCAAATGGCCTTCGGATGCGACCCTGCTAAGTCCATGGGCTGGCATCACGCCCCTCGTAATGGAACCGCCGTGAGGTGAATGATGATGTGCCATTACAAATTTCCATGCGAAGCTGGACTGAGATCCTTCTAATTTTTGTGATTTGGGTTGTTTTAAAGCAACCCAACCGGGGAAGCGAAGGTAGATCGATCTCCTACCTGGGTACTTGACTGCATCGCAGCATTTCCATCTCTCTTGCGTGAAAGGCCCCTGTCATGAATCCGATCCGTGAGAGGTTAGCGGCGGAAGCTCAAGACTGGCAGAGAGCAGTCGCTGCATGTAATCTCTCCGATAAGACAGTACATGGAGCGGAGCTTGCTTCAGCCTCCCAAATGGGACGAGACCAGTTCCTGCTTCTGCGGGTTTTATGGAAGACCTACACACGCGGCCCATTGCGGCTGCAAACCATGTTTGGTATGGCTGAGTGGCTCAGCCGTGCCGAGGAGATGCTGAAGCACCATAACTCCTGGAGGGCTTTTTGTGACGGGTTCGCACCCTCGGTGATCCCCGAGGGAGACTTTGCCATCCCTCGACTGTACCAATTAGAGGCAACAAAAACAAACCCATCAACCGGTTCTCACCAACTGGCCACCCCGATAATACGCCGAACTCGCCAGCGCCAACTTCAAGAAAAGCTGGCAAACCTGTACCTCGCGACGCCTTCGAAGAACCCGACACAGACGTACGATACACCTGTCGTCCAGGGGACGCCCGATGATGATGATGATGATGATGATGCGATATTCAAGGATGAGCCATCGCCATTTCAACCAATAAGTCCCACACCCAAGGACTTAGAGAGTAACCTGTACCCCCCTAGTAAGGATGAACAGATCGTGAATATTGCCTTGGTGGTGTTTTTGAATGCGCTTACCATGCGCTTTAACCTCTCCTCTAGCTGGACAATGCACCGAATAGCCTTGACTGCGCAGTTCGAAGCGGCTCAATTCGAGGCCAGGACAGATAGCTACTTGGTCGATTCGCATGGAAAGCCAACTGTTCTGATCGAAGTGAAACCTGTACGAAGATCCACGAAGATGGTACCTATTCAGATACAAGAGTCCGCCCAGATGGTTGCCTGGATTAAAAGCGATGGTGACTTGGCCCAAAGTCGAAAAGTGTAAGCTCTGACCGTTGAAGGATTACTCTCCATATTAATGATGAAATAGCCGTTTCCACATCTCCCAAGATAGGCACGAGATTTATGTCACTGTTGCTGAATACAACGACGACTATCTGGCATACCTGAATAGTCCACAGCCCCCGCGTAACGAATCTACCAGCCAGAGATTAAGTGGAGAAGAGCCTCCCAAGCCTCCGGAGCCACCCCTGGCATTCCTGACAATGCACCAGTTCGGCCCTTTTGACACGTTGCTTGCTTCTCATATCCGTGAGATAGGGCCTATCCTTCTGGCCATTACTCTTCGAGCCGAAGCAGAAAGCTCACAGGTAGTGTGACGGTACCATCTATGTGTTGGGCCTAGTTATGTGGTGATATGTCTTTATGGTCTGCTATTGTTCGTGTCATTCGTCCTCGTCTTCCTTTATGTTCGTCCTGTGTTTTGGCCTTATTTTTCATAGTGGTGCTACAAGGCAGTGCGACTGGTAACTCAACTGATAGACAGCGACCAACCCCAACACCTTTAAAAAGAATACGCTTTAGAATGGCGTGTCATGGAGCTGAGTTGTCTCATATATCACCGCACTTTCTTGACGAGATGGTGGTAGGACTTGAGAAAAATACCAAAAATAATAATGACTAAAAACGAAAAACATGGAAAGCAGTATAGAAACTAACCATAGAGAGTTAGCGGAGTAAGCAACTTGCATTAGTGTGGTTGGCCGTTTAATGGTTCTCCAATGTTGGGCAGCATAAAATGCAATAGAGTTTTTGGGTGGAACCGTTCAAAAGGTGGCGTCTACATCCACTTGTTACTACGATGGCACATCGTTCAGGACGGTCAGCAGCTTGCATTAATCACTTAACTCTCCTTACCAATCCACCTCGTGCATACATCAGCAGGATTACCTTGATAATGAACAACCTTCCAGAAGCCAAAGGGGCTACAAGGTCCTCTAGTATCCGACTAGAATATATGCCCCAGCAGGCCTGGGTACGGGCCGCCGGAGACGATTGGACGGGAATCATAGATCGCAAGGAACGGCGGCGACTGCAAAATCGACATAATCAGAGGGCATACCGTAAGGACTCTAGTTCCTTAAGAGTAAAGGGAAGAGGGGTATGATTATTAACCTGAATATTAGGCTTAAGGAGGAAGGGAATAGTGGCCGAACCACCGGAAGACACATCTTCTACGTCCTCTACGGCAAGCTTAGAAATTGTACTACGAAGCCCATCCGATGGATCTCATGTGGAAACTGCAGAGGATCTTCAATGTACCCATGCCCCACCATATGCACTGCAGTTCCGACAATGGTTCGAAGCGACAGCCCGGGACAGTTATCTCCGGGGGTCGCCCAAAACAGAGCATTTGATCAGTCTCAGCCGTTTGAACGTTCATAGAGCCATCATTGAGAATATATGCGCCATAGGGATGACCAATGACTGGACCAAGAGTGACGACTCGATCTCCATCTTCAATCTCGTTCAACCTGGGTTCCAAGAGGGTAATATCCCGCCGAGTTTGCGCCCAACACTGATTCAACGAAGTGTACCGCATCATCCCTGGCTGGACTTCTTTCCCTTCCCCCACATGCGAGATAACCTTATTACTGCTGGGGATATGCTAGATGACGACGATCTTTGTCATGATCTGATGGCTTTCTGGGATACTAGGAATACGGGCGCCACATTACTCGTGTGGGGAGAACCCTCAGACCCGAACAACTGGGAGGTTACGGAGGGATTTGCGAGAAAGTGGGGTTGGCTGCTCCGGGGGTGTTCAGAGCTGTTAGTTTCTAGCAATCGTTGGAGAATGAGGCGAGGAGAACGGCCTCTTATTTGGAGACAGGTCCTCCAGCTACAATAGAAGACTACATGTGGAGCAAATTAAGGCATTCGAATAGTTTTGACATTGCTTCGTAATCTAACGCTCGGGAATTGTATATCGTGTATTCAGAAATTGGATCATTCATGCATACCGATAATTTGGTGGTGCTATAGACCTGGTAGGGCTGGCAGGAGCATATGGAGGTGGCACACGGGGGACTTGACCTGTCACGGGAGGCGCTGGTGGAATGTCCTTCGTTGGGGCCTTCTTACGACGGCAGCAACAGCAAAAGATTATACTGAATAGCACTGCAAGGACCAAGGCCCCGCCAATTCCGGCAGACAGTCCAATGACCAGAGACCGATGGCGATCCACCCATGAGCTGCTACCCTCACTATCAGACTGACACGTCCCGCTTCGACAGAACCCATCCGGACAGGGAGTACCGTCTTGCACCTGCCGGTTCATTCCCATGCAAGTACCGGAGCCATACCAGTCAACTGAGCAACTGAGGGTGCACGAGTCGGTATTGCAGGAGGACACGCCCGTGCTATTGGTGTTCAGCAACTGTTGACATTGCATATTCCGGTTCGTACATTCTCCACTGGCGCAAAATAGGCTGGATGAGTTGCCGCAGGTTTGCCCATCTGGTGCAAATCTGTCGGTAGGACAAGCGCTGGAATTTCCAGTACACATCTCCTGGATGTCGCAACTTCCAGTACTCTCACGACACACCGTGGCGGATGATGCAAACTGGCAGTTTGTACAGCACGGTCCGGCTGAATCATCGCAGACCGCACCATCGCGGAAGCGACATGTTGATCCATCACAACAGCTGTTATCATCACAATTATCACCGCAATCGCAGTCCTCGCCGGCCTCGACAATCCCATTCCCGCACTGTCCGGCCGTTAGGGTCGGTATGTTGCTCGTATCGCTTAGAAGGCAACCTGTTCTCATTGATCGTGACCCTAGTAGGGAGCAGACATTCCCGACTGTACAGGGCGAAAATTCTGTCTGTGAGGACTGTGAATATGGATTCATGATGTACTGAGCATCCGCGTCACACGTGGACGAGGACAATGGGCAGCACTGGGTACTGGAGGAACATGTGCTGGAATCGCAGTCGTGGACTGCACCAAATGTATGGCCCGATTCGTGACTATAAAAAGCGTCAGTCCTCACTGGGAATGTTAATGTGGCACATATACCTACGCGAATACCTGCCACTGGTTGGATGCTCGTGCTACGACGTTCGTGCTTGATTGAGAGTTGCATAGTTGGCCTATCCATGAAATACCCACTTCTGACCCCGACGGACAGCCGGTCATGAGCGTCCAGTAGGCGTTTTCTGTATCGCTCAGTGAAGACCGCCAGGAAGAAAATTGTTGCAAGCGCCAATTCATGTCTCCCTCGGAACATCCAACGTTCCACGGTGCGGAATCTGTAGCACTGCCTGGACAATTTGCATCGCTAATTGTCAAGTTATGAAGAGCAAGTGATATGTTGAAGGTACTTTCAAACAGTTCCGATGCGGTATTGACCATGTTGATAAGGCTTCGACGAAGACTTTCCGTCGATTCGAACGATGCTGTATATGTACAGTCCGTTGCGATTCCGACTAATGCGACTCTTCTGCTCGTAGGACAGCCAGCGTGACTGCCAATACTGTCGACCAGATCATCTGTACCCAGTGTTGACTGACGCCGTTCCAAACTAGAAGGTGTATTAGGAAACAACCCGTGGGAGGAGTCCTCAACCGATATCATCCGAGGGGTCAAGGGATGGGGCATCAACTGGTCAGCTGCGCAGTGGGACGGCTCAGTTGAATCTTCTATATCACGGCGCAGGTCCGTCCTTGTAGAGTGATATGCCACCATGGAGCCGTCATGAGCAGGGAGACCAATATCTTCAACCGTGTCCCTTAATACTCTTACATCATAGTACTGGGAAAAGGCACTAAATGTACCTTCAAACAGAGGATCATCCCCATCACGAACGATGTATATCCGTGCCCAACCAACCTTTTCCCAACGTCGACCTGGTACTTGAATCCACACTCCACCTCTGAATATCCTTTGGTCTTCTTCGATAAATGACTCAGTCCGTTTGACGACTCCTTCTGTGTCAAGATACTGGATTTGAGGGCGATGTGCGAGTAGGTAAGAGTTTCGCTCCAGCTTTAGCCTGATTTCGTGATCCTGCCCTCGGATCCTAAATGTGATATCGAACTCGGACTCGCGTGGGATCTGTTGGGACGGTGTATGTATGGCAACTGACTCCAGCTGGCTTGCCTTTTGTGATGGCGAGGAACGTATCGAGTGTCCTGGCCGTATCAGTATAATGAAGCCTTGTGCTGGGATGCTAATCACCTTGAACATGCGAGAGGAGGACCAATAGAGGTGCAAATAGCAGGAGGACTGGATATATTCTCATGATTAGGTATAACGAGACTGGAGCTCTGCTACTGGGGACAACTACGCTATACAGGTTACACATATAGATATATATACTTCATCGTGATCTTTTGTTCGTAATGGATTTATAATCGGCATCCCATGAGATTTGACCGATAGCGATACCAAGCTTCTACCGAGCACCACAAAATTGTAAATCAACCGTTCAGCAAGTCCACACTCGACCCACATAGACCAGGCATCAGTATAAAGCCCCATGGGCATCTGCCACATACCGAGCGAAATACATTCTGTAAGCCAAGAGAGACTCGTCATCCCCAAGACCCGCTGCGCTGACAGCACTACCTCGACCCTTCCTCTTGTGCCCTAACAAGCAGAACCGTGGAGAGCACAGCCTCGCCTCCGACTTGGCACCGCATCCTGCAGTGGCTACGGATCTCTCGGAGCGGGGAGAAAGTGCCAAGCGAGTGGAAGTCTTTCCGAATGGTCGGTTGGCATTGGCTGATCTCATCGATATGGTGTTGCCTAATGATGGATTGAGAGTGCTGGTGGCTATGCCTGACTTATCATGTTTCATAGGTTAAGGCTCATTATCTGATGGGCGAGTTCTTCCTTCGAATATTTGTGGCTCCACATGGCCAGCGCGAGAACCTTCAACAATGCAGAGAATAGCCGTGACATCTTTTTTGTGTTTTATCCACGGCGCTTGATCACATTGTATTCTGGTTACTAAGTTCAATATAATTCTTCTTCGAAAGTGATGGCTCAAACTGCGTTGGGCATCATAGCAGTCCATTAAGTATGTTGAGAAGTTACGGTTACGGGCTCGATCCCATACTGAATATGGAAGGACTATGGAATGTACCAAGAACCGCAAAGCCACTAGATATCGGTTCGAGCCATACACTATAGTGTTTGAGTACCGCAGATCTGCCGAGAGTTGGATGACTGCAGCAGGGCGGATTTATTCCGTTATCTCCGGGTGACAGAACTTGGTCGCTTAGGGTTTTTAGCTCCCGGCACTAATGCAACCTGATTACCATCTTGGCGTGGCTGTGTTGCAGACCTTGGGTGGCTAGCCCTTGTTTGGCTTCATTTTTAATATATCATGGCTGTGGTAGATGGTTCACTGACGTGGGTCTGTCCATCGGTATTTTTAGAGTTGCTTACGCCGTCGAATGTCTGGCATCGGGAAAAATCTGAGGTATCAGGGACCGAACATAGAGACCAAAGCTCTTCACCGATGAGTTCCCAAAGATAAAAATTGCAACAATAGACTCATTCTCCCTTTTGGTGCCCACCGTTTGGTTCAAGTCGTCATCCTGGTTACTTCTATCCGTGGTTCAATTCTTCCCTTTCATCAATCTTTGTCTCTTGGTATCGTTACTTGTGTCCATCATTTTAGCTTCAGCATATGCAATGGACCATTAGGTGTTTACTGCAGAAACATGCCATCGATAAGTTATCTTATTCATCTATTCTTTCAAAATGAGTCCGATCCTAATCTTCAGTACGGACCCATAACTGCGGCCCTCACAAAAACAGCCCCAGCGACGGCGGCGCCGATTTCATTTGATCCTCCTGAATGTCCTGGATAAGCGCATTGCCCGCATAATCCTCTAAATCCAAATCTATATAGCCCCGGGCAGCCCATTTCCTCCCCGAGACGAAGATAGAGTGTCCATTGATACCAGTATCGCTGAGAATCCGCAAGAGACACTCTCCTGCATCTTCAACTGTGGCCAATACTACCCCCAGGCTGGAAACATGGGCAAATGCTTCCTCCGAGAGAATATTCGTTTTCACATACCTAGGTATAGGTCAATGGCCAAGTCGCTCAAGTTCTGCGAATAGGACTACTTACCATGGGGAGATGATATTGACCCGACTTCCGTAATAGAATGCCGTCCTCCTGAGAGAATGCATGATACCCCGCATAGCCCATTTACTGGCACAGTACTGAGGCGCGCGAGGGCAGTCGAGGAAGGCTGCACCAGAGCCGATTAAAACCAAACATGTATCCTCTTGTTCGGGTGAGGGAGTCTGTCCGTTTTGCTTGATGAAGTAGTGGGATGCTAACTTGGCTGTGTATAGTGTTCCTTGGATGTTAACGTCGATGGTACTCAGGTCCGGCTTTTCTGGTTCTTGATCGTCGCCGGAGTACAGGAAAACTTCATCTGGTCGGTGGATGCCCGCGTTGGCGACGACGTAGTGGATCTTGCCTGTTGGTGAAAAGGAGATGGCTTCCCGGAAGAGACGCGCTTGATCATCCCAGCTGGTGGTGTTGCATTGAATGAACTTGGTGCTTGTGGATGGTTAATAGGTGAGGTTATTATAGTGGCAACCATAGGAAGGGTTCTGACCCCTGTAGCTCTGCTTCTAATTTCTTTCCCTTGTCTTGATTCAAATCCGCGATACAGACGTTAACCCTACGTAGTGTGTTAGGTACTCCTTGTGATTAGGATTGGCGGCGTACCCTCTATCAACTAGGGCGCGAACATATCCTTCGCCGAGACCATTGGCACCTGTTTCAGTTAATGACCACGTACAGCTTGGCACACTACACGGATGAAACCATACCTCCAGTGACAATTGCCGTCTTTCCCTGCAGATTCTTGGTGTCAAAAGGCAGGCTGCAGTCGACAGGTCCATTATGCGTATAACGTTTTGCTTGGGACATGGTTCTTTCTGGTAGTGGGAGAGAGATAATGAAAAAAGTGTTCTACTCCTCAGTCGCAAGGGGAGCCCGTTAATTCTTATAATTCACACATTCTGGTATGATTTATAGAAGCTCTGGGTTGTAGTATCGGGTATGATCTCATACCGGGCACTAAAATGGCACTAATGCAAGTTGCTTATGCGAGCCAACAATTCTGGTTTCCCATTACGGAGCAGACCATGGGTTCGCGGGTTCTCCACACTACGATCCACCATCCACCCAGGGTAAAGTTCTCCCAGCAAGAAGTAGGCACGCCACCTTGAAAGGCAAAATAACATGGCAGATAATCACACACAGAACCAAGATATACATTAGACGGGATTGCCTTCTGCTCAACTGCTAAGCCATAAGTCGGCCGACGTTAGCGTATACGTCGTCAACAGGCCAGTGGAAGGCACAGGGAGTCTTGTATTGGTGAATAGCTTTGCGAGGCAACGTGAAAGTGGGATGTAAGGGCACCCCGATGATCAAGTACACTTACACCAGAGCTAGTCCAATGACCATCAAGATCTTGCTGCATATTTTGAACTCCGGTACGTCTATGGCCCTACGTGCCCAACGCTTGTAACCCTACACCATGGCCAGGGTACCACGGCTCTTAGTACACATTGTGCTTATGGATTGTCCCATGACTTACTATGTTAGGTGTTGCGCAATCCCAGACTGGGAAGAAGGGAAAGATATTAGCGTTACTGAAAAGAGATGCGTAGCAAAGCTGAGAACGGGGAACGAAGGCGAGATCCTTTGATATAGCCGGGGCGGAGAGAGTGACCAACAATCCGAGATAACATCTCATGAATGTGATGGACGAGACACGGCCTTATCGGGGCAATGCTTTTGGACACTCTTGGTACTTTGATGCTCAAAAAGGGCCCTAGTTGAAATATGCTTTTGTTTCGACTTATTGTTGAGCTTCTCTGAGCGCTGCTGATCCTGATTTGATGTTGATTCTGGAGCTATTATAGCAGAGGAGAGATACCGGGGACAGTAAGAGAGCCGTGGACATATGTTAAGGGGCATATGGATGACAGACATGAGTAAGAAGGAAAAGGTGGGATTCTTGTATGGCAGAAAGAAATAGAAAAACCTAACCCTTCATTCCTTTGATATATCCTGGATATACATCTCAAACCTGAAAGTCTCGTGTTTTACTTTAAACCGCCTGACCGGAACGAGCTAGATAAACTTGCCCACCCAGAGTATTGCAGGGAGATAGCTCGTAGCACTAGTAGGATGCTACCCATATCCTTGCTGGACCTTTGTATTGAATACCTTTCCTTAGTTCAGTTATGTCGTTTGTGATTCTTATGCCCTGAGTATTTGTGCCTTAGAGTAGCTCTGCCGAAGCTTAAAGAATACCACATTATCCGAATGTTTATTGTGCTGCAGGGTACTTGATCCATCCAAAAATTATAGTACGTTTAGCTGCAGTTTCCACGGATTTTCTGATCGCTCTGATAGCCTCAAACAGGCTCTTGACATTGCATATGCCAAGTGCACCTACAGCAAAAGATTGAATATTAGTCAATTAAATGTATCTACTATAACCCTCCGTTTCATTATCTACGAATTATAATACCGGAGGTGTTCAGAATATGAACTAGTAGCTTGGCCTCGTTGCTGACTGGTTTACTTATCCACTTGACAGATTGCCGATCAGGTCCGAGCTCCCGGAACCTTCCAGTGTAGCCAGCCAGCAACTCAATTGATCACATACTGCGTAGCCCTATCAATAGTAGATACAGATCTAAAGTATGGAGACTGGATACTGAGGCACCTCAGCAGACTAGTGGTCTCTGCTGGTATGAGCCCATAATCATTATGTTCTGCCTCGAAGGTCTCGAATACCGTGAGCTCAGTATGAGTAGTATGTTTTACCAGAAGAATTGGTTCTGTCGTCACATGGTTTCATGTACAGCAAGAACATAGACATATGCAATAAGGGAGCAGTACCTGAAAGTAGTGTCAGAACGTATTGTGTTAGTACAAGCCAAACTCGCTGGCTTTCGATCTCACCTGTGAAATATTTTCTGTGTACGCGAGTAGCCCTTGTGGAGTTGACCTGGCCTGTCCCTTTCACTCAGAGGCAACAATGATAGGTCGATGCCCTGCCTCGGACAGTACGGCGGCCATGGGAGCAAACTCTATGCACGACAAGTCACAAATGTAGCGGGTTAGAAGGCAGAATATGCGGGTCTAAGTCGAGCAATCACACCTTTGGGTTCAGCTGCAGGGGTCATTTTTGTCATTCATGTCAGTTCCTAGCCCCACCATGTGGGTCACGCAACGTGTTGCGGCGGAATAGGCGAGGGGTTCTCTCTTCGCAGCTGCGGGACTGCGGCTGAGGATGGTTTGAAATCAGTATCCCTCGAGCTCGTAACATAGCTGCTCAATAGCTGTGGGCCCACAATGCCGATCGTGATGGATCTTTACCGCTCTTTGCGTAGTGCTATCAGTGGGAAAGAAAATATGAATTTGCCATGCTGATCATCAGCTGAGATGCTCACACCCAATGCACATATAAGCCTCTCCATGTCAATCTTCACCGACCACAATATCTTTCAATCAATCAATAAATTCTATGCCCATATACCAAGGCATTGTTGAATAAGAGAACATTTGGTGAACCGTTAACATGCTAAGCCCATTCACTACGCAAGGGGTGGAAAATCTCCCGGCTCTTCCAGACAAGCTGTCTTCAGAAGATAGTGGGCAGTACGTTGTCAAGTGCGAACAGTTTAAAGAAGTAAAAGCCGAAGATGGCAATATCGAAGCCGCGATATGGTTTCGACTACCGGTAAACTCTGCACATTCGACAACCCACATAGATCGTTTCCCGGCTAACACATTAACAGCCTATCACCCCGTCCGTCCTTCGCCGTATTCAATTCCTCCAACTATTTGCGGAATCTGGAGACCAGGGATTCGTCGGTGACAGAGACGCGGGAACCTGGACATGGTTTGAACTAGCTATTCTTGAGAATGAAGAGAAGGATGAACCAATGATCAAGAACAACATCCAGTATGTTTGGAAAAGTCACCTCAATCCGATGGAGACGCCGAACTTTAAATCGGTACGTACTACATGAGTTGAATGCCATACAGTGCTGTGCTAAAATGATGCTTTTCTGTTCAGAATCATGGTATGGTCTTCGACCAAACACATAATTTACTGCGTTCACTTGAGGTATGTGCGCCGTCCTTTCCTGTAAATCTCTACCTAATAATTGATAATTAGGTGGGAAATGTCATTGCCATTCGTATTTGTGCTCGCTTCAAAATGTGGGCAATTAGAGCCCTGAAGGGATACTTGGCTGTTCAAATTAGCAAAGAGCCAGGTTAGGGATCCCCCTGTACTTTTTCTTCTGTTTTCAAGTTCTTTCTAATGGACCCCCCGTCTATATAGCCACATACGAGCCCGCTAGATTTGAGCGATTCAAATACCTCCAAAATGCACTCCAAGAGCTGAACGAGAAGAATGACACCGATTATGATCTTGAAACCCCTCCCATGCGTGCCGATGGTTTCGATGCTGCTAACGAGAAACCGCTACGTGTCCTATGTCTTGGTCGGTGCCTCTCCTTCTCCTGCTGAAGTATCTCAGGCATGCTGACATATTAGCAAAGATGGAGGAGGTGTGCGTGGATTATCGTCGCTCCATATCTTGCGCAACGTGATGCAGCAGCTCGGGACCGAAGAAAAGCCAGCAAAACCATGTGAGGTGTTTGATATGATTGCTGGCACTAGCACTGGAGGGTAAGTACATCTAAGTATGTGTTGAGAAGACTTAATGCTAATATGTTGAGCCAGGCTATGTGCGATCATGCTAGGTCGACTGAGGATGTCAGTTGACGAGTGCATTCATGAATATGAGAAATTCATGAACCAAGTATTTACAAACACTTGGCGGGAAGCAGCGGAGAATTTGGTGAATGTGACCAAGTATAATACTTCCAAATTAGAAAATGTTCTCCGGGGTGTTATCAAAGAACGTACCAAGAATGAGGACGAGCCTCTATTAGACGAGGGCAACGAGTGTAAAGTGTATGACTCTTCACTGTTACTCCTCCCTGAATCTTACGGCATTGCTAACATCTCTGCTTAGCTTCGTCCTCTCCATTGATGAGACGGCAGTTAACAATAAAAGCCCCGTATTCCTCCGCTCCTACACCAACACTCAACAGCCATCTCTGTTGCCAAATATCAAGATATGGGAAGCTGGTCGTGCAACATCCGCTGCGCCAACGTACTTTGGCCCCATGCAGGTTGGCGGCCAAAAGTTGATCGATGGTGGTCTTGGCGCAAACAACCCTGTTGGATGGTGAGTTCATCTCTCTTTCTATGGCACTACGTTCTTCAATGCTGAAAGACTTTTGTTCAGGTTGTGGAATGAAGTCCTAAGCGTGTATGGCGCTGGTCGACCCATCTCGTGTTTTCTCAGTATTGGAACGGGCATTCCTAAAAATAGGGCCTTGGGTGGTATATTCAAACTGCCAACTTCTTTGGCTGCAAATGCAACCAACTCTGAGATTATGCATATTCTCTTCCGGACCCTCCTTGATGCATATGCACCACAAACCATGCGCGCCAAATACTGGCGGCTCAATGTCGGCCACGAAATACCTGGTTGGCCGGAGGATCCCAAAGCGGCTAAAAAGAACGATCTACCAGAACTAGATGACATTAAAGGTATATATGGATTTGTGGAGAAAACAGAACAATATATCACGCAGCAGGCAGACCTTATACGCAGATGTGTGGAGACAATCCAAGAGAGTCGATGAGATATCCCATTGAGACCGTCTATCCGGAAGTACAATTTGATTGGAAGTCCAACACGAGGGTTAGCCATCAGGAAGCTTTTGTTCTTTCCTCGCATCCGTTGTCTTGCATTTGATATCTGTCCGAAGGATATTCTATCTGCTATGAGCTGCGGGTTCTCATAGACCAAGATACTGTCACAATTTAGTGATAACCTATATGTTCCCTTTCTAGAGATAGATTATAGAAGTTGTATAGATCAGCAGATGCACCAGGCTTGTATACAGAAAATCAGAATTAAAGTATAAGACTATCAAGGTCAAGGATTAGTAGCTCTGTTAGTAGGAATAGAATTATTAGCATTAACGCGGACCATATTTTCAACAATTGAAAGCTTGTTCTACAAACACGGTCACCTATAATACTTTGCCCCTAAAATAACTGTAATCAAGATCAAGCCGCATATGCCATATAGTAGCTCAAACCACGGCTAGGGCGAGTATCACTCAATATGCATGGGCAGTCAGGGTTTGACCCTTGCCTGGAACAGCCAACTGATCCCGTCCTCTTCATGCCTTTCTTACGGCCATTCTCGCCGTTGGTTAATGCAGACCTGAGCGACATTCTTCAGTGTCCTCGTACCCACAAGGAATCTAGTCACTCACATGCTTTCCTTCTACCAGGTATCATATCTCCAGCCGCATGATGCTCATAGCGGAAGGTTGCCGCCAAGTACTGAATTACAAATAAAACCCGTGCGATTTCTATGTCGTTCCAGTACATGGCTCAAATATTATGGCTAATCCATCAGATCCGAGAATAGTTTTCTTTCTCGGGCCTTATCAATTCTCAAGTTGTTCTTCTTAACCAGTATACAGCCTTGCAACGGAGCCTTTGTTTTCATGTTTTAGAGATCATGCCTCTCGCGCGGGTATTGAGTAATGTCCTTTTACGCAAATACCTTCTTTAACCAGTGTACACCCCAGGAAGAGGCCGAGTTTACTATAAGCACCAGGCTGAGCTGGTAACACGACTCAGTGAAAGTGATGGAGTCTTTACTCGCTACCAGGTGGGGTTGCGCTTCAAGGACTGGCAAATTACATATCATACCCGTAGCCTTTAATACGGAGTTTACCTCTTTGGCAAAGCACATGCCAGAGCATTATTACATAATTATGATTGTATTGAAGGGTGGCAGCTGTAGCTTAATAATTGCAAGCTAACCACAGGCTATATTTAGTCCGTCGTAGCCCCCAGCAAACCCCGCAGAATCTCATTTCTTGCTCAGTCAACAACTTCAACACAGAGCAAAATCATGGACTGTCTGATATTGCCTTTGGAGGTTTTCCAGACCATCCTAACATATCTGGACCTTGACTCAGTCAAAGCTCTTCGTCTGACAAACCGAAGGCTCGCCGGGATGTGCATCGGGCCTCGATTTTTAACTTCCCTTCAACAACCAACTCTGGACGTATCATCACAGAATCTTCGTTCTCTTCATGCTTTGGCTTGTAATCCTTCGCTCAGCAAGAGGATCCACACTTTGACCCTCCTAGCAACAAGCTTGGACTCTTCTGAGTTAGAGAAGAATGTGAAGACTGGACGATATACTGCGCGGGAATTCAAGGGGCCCTTTGTTATATCTTCTCAGATCGAATATTCCCCCGAAGAACTGTCAAAGGCCATCTCCGACCTAAGCTGGTTGAGGGAGCAGCAAGAAGAAAGAGCCAATGAGTCGTCAAGTGAGATGATTCAGCTTCTTGAACTTGCGTTCAAGGGGTTTAACAAGTTGGATTCGATACACCTAGATGGTGCGCTCATCGTCGGCCGTACGAATAGAGAATCAGCTCATCATGGGAAGTGGCACCCGCTATGGATGCGAGCTTCGCACATACTGTCTATGGTTTTGACGGCGACAGTTCAGAGCGGGATTTCAGTAAAGAAGCTCGATGTATATCGCGATACTCCAAGATGCTGCATTCCATCCGGTCATATCACCACCTATGCATCACACTTCAGGCCCGGCCAGCTAGAGATACTAGGCAAGGGCTTAGAATCTCTAAAACTTAGTATGTCTGGGGAGATAGATGATACTTTTAACATCACCGAATCAGATAACATGGGAGGCCGGAGGGGACTTCTATCGCGCGAAGATGCTCGTGCAGTGCTAGCTGGTGGGACACCAGGAATTGCATCCCTGCTCAAACCTGCCTCAGCTCTTCGAGAGTTAGATCTATCTTTCCGTCATACCCTAATAGACGGGACACTAGAAAGCTATGACCGGATCATTGAAAGTATTGCCCAAGAAACACAGTTCCCCAGGCTTGAGAAATGTGCACTTTCGGGATTCATGGCAAAAGGGGAGTCAATTCTGCTATTTCTCCAGCGGCATGCCAATCTCCAGTCTCTGACGCTGCATGAGTGTAATTTGACCACTGGTTCATGGACACCGATCATGTCGCATCTAGACCAATCCATGCCAAAGCTAGAGTTCCTCAGCCTCTCAAACCTGTATGGAAAGCATGTGAACTATACACCAAGGGTTGGTCACATTGATTCTAATGCCAGATTCCAAGTAGAGCAGGGGGAGCAGGAAGTCGATGGAATGGTGAATCTTCATCCAGTCTGGGACACCGATCAACAACCACGTTGGAGGTGCCTGCAACAGGCTGGAGGGAAATGTGTGCACACCAGGAGCTTCACCCGTGAAGAATTGAAGAAAGGGCTTGTATTTCGGCCGCTAAGGCCTGGGGGTAGGATTAAAGGCTCTTCTGAGCATATGCAGTGGGGAAAGGCTCGGAGGGCGCTTTATGGACCTCCATAGTGCTACCTTCCTTTGTGCTCAAATATGTTCCAGACCAGCTGGTGGACTCCCTGCCTGCGGGATAGGTGATCACTGAGGGGAATTGAATTATTAGGTCACACCTAGTGGAAAGGCTCGCCCTTCCCTCGTCACTATACACAAAACCTGTAGAATATAGGGGCCTATAATATCAGACTAACGGTATTGAGATGTTGTAGCAGTAAGTTATGGCCGGAAAAGCTACCCCAAGGCAACGAGACAATTCTAACATAATGGACTTAGCTTGAATAAGATATGCAAAGCTGTATATCTCAAGCTTTACTTTAAATTTTATATAGTGTCTCGGCATGAAAAGGACCGAAAAGAACACACGTAAGCCGAGACGCCACACGCTGGGCTGTGAAGTTATCACGCACACCACTAAGCCTTGACAAGTTAGACTAGTTTGAAGAGGCTGGCATCGCCTCAATCCTCTCAGGTTCCGCCAGGTGGAACGTCCACCATGATGATTATCGTTATCCAATAGGTGGTGCTATCTAAACGATCCCCCTCTGCCTGCTCCGACAAAATATTATAAAAGTGACAATGGAGGAGGACATACCCTGTCACGTCTATTCCCGCATCGAGCCCGATGAATTCCGTGTCATCAGGATTGTGGAGGTACAACCTCAGGTTAAGTTCAGCCTGCAGACATTCTCCATTTATGAGGCCCCCGCGTATGAAGCCCTGTCGTACGCATGGGGTAACTCGCCGGAGTTGGAAGATAGTGTCTGTAACGGTGCGCGTTTCCGCATCTCCCATACACTGGGTCAAGCGCTGCGCGGAATCCACGCACATTCTGGCGGGGGGTGGATATGGGTGGATGCTATATGCATTAATCAAAGCGACGCAGAGGAAAAGGCACACCAGGTCGCGGGGATGGGAGAGCTCTATTCCTGTGCAGACCAAGTTCTGATCTGGCTAGGAGATGCCACTGATGAGAGCGATATGGCGTGTTCGCTGTTGCCCGAACTTACGGAAAAGATCTGGGCGCTGAAAGAGAGCACAGGATGGAAACCGCTAACCACAGACGAGATCGTAACGCAAGGCCTTCCACATCCTGATGATCAGCTCTGGCGCGCCGTTCTGCTGCTCTACAGTCGGCCCTGGTTTCAGCGACTCTGGATTGTTCAGGAAGTCGTTTTGGCGCCCCAGTGTGTTTTTCTATGCGGTGCGCAGCAGGTCGAATGGCATGTTGTGGTGAATTTTGCAATTGCCGCGTCAAAATCCTTTTTCGTCAGCAATATCGCTGGCTTGCACGTGGATGCGATGGGTGAGGATCAGGTAAGCCGGTCGACGAATGGGATCAAACTCATCCGGAGCTCACGCCGTTTGAAAGATGGGTTGGAGGAAGCCGAAAAGGAGATCGAGGGGCTTTATGCAACGATGGACATCATGCAGAGCCAGGGCGCCTCCGTGAAGGTAGACTATGTCTATGCAGTTCGCGACATGCTGCCAGACGCCATGCGTCAAAAGGTGGTGGTGGACTACTCCGATGAGGCTAAGCAGAATTACGGCATCGTTCACGCAAGGTTTTTCCGCCAATGCTTGGAGAGGGTCAGAGATTGGCCATCGTTGCGCTTTCCTCCAACAACGACCCATGCAAATATCCCTTCATGGTGCCCGCCTTGGGGCAGTGGCTGGAATTACCGCTATCTGCCCGTCGTGGGTTGTAAAGCTGGAAGACCGGCTGCAACGTCTCTCCCATCGACCTCTGGTAACCTGTCGCTTACGGCCAACAGCGGTGATGAAGGGATCCTGTGTATTGCTGGCTTGTTTGTGGATACAATCCAAGATATCGTTCCCCTCAGCCAGGTGTTTGGCGAGAGCTCAAACGTTTTTCATGCACATCGAATCTTGAGAGCTCTGAAGGATTGCTTGGCTTACATTCCCCACCATGCCCACAGTCACCAACGCCTCCTTGGTGTTCTAATTGGCCAGTGTGGCTGGCTCGAATCACCCGAATTCTCTGGGCGTCCGGACGGTGATGTTCTAGGCAGTTTTATCGCATTCCTAGAGCTCACTGCAAACGAAAAGCATGAAGATGGGGCTGATCCACTCCCTGTCAACCTAAACACGGCGGAATACTTTCTTGACGAGCATCGGTTCTGGCGGGGCTATCTCAACCTCATCATCATTCGATGGCCAGGCAGAAGCTTTGCGTTTACCAACAACGGCCGTATGGCTATAGTGCCATGTGACACCAAACCCGGAGACACTGTGTGCGTCTTTCTGGGAGCAACTCTTCCGCAGGTTGTATCTCGGCACGAAGATGGCGTACACAGCCGATATGTGGGGCCCAGTGTTGTCGATGGCATAATGCAAGGAGAGGTCTTTGACACTATGGGGGAGTGGATGAAGAATAAGGAGACGATCCGTTTGAGATAGCATCTAGCAGCTGTCCGTCCTGGTGGCCGGTTACGCATGGTGCAATGCATTGTGTTATCCCTCTCAGACTTTGTAAGCTGTTATAGTATTTATGTAAATTGGCGAGTTCGGGTTGAAAGAAGAAGACTCACGCAGGCCATGATTGCACCCTGCCTACCCCTATACATGGCTTTCCATAGCCTACCAATGTCGCATGAAACCTGCCATGCATCTTTGCAAATAAAAGCCATCGAGACTAGTAGGGTTAAACCATTCCATTTCAGATACTCGGTTTAGCTTGCCTTCCTTTCAATATGTTCCTTCGTGAATACTCAATCCAGTGACAGTAAGCCAGTGTTATTAACACAACATATAAATCATGAAGCATGGCTTCGAATGGTCTACTAAAATTTACAAAAGATATTGAGCTCACCTCGGGAGAGATAAATCACCACGTCCCTATTCTGCTATGTGAGTCCCAGGGATATTCATCTGTCAGTCAAGAGATTCCACTTACCTCACATCATGCCATCGTGCCATTCACCAAGTTTGATGCCAAATCTATTTTTGTATATCGATCACGTGCATTTGTGCACAACCGGATGAGTCAGCCAGTGTGACGTTGTGCAACCAAATGCTAAGGCTCTCCCCGTAGATGCCTTGCCTTCTTGTTTATTTAAAGCCCTCGTATCCCCAGCAGTTACGTTGATGTTCCTCGGACAGTACCTGGACAGCTTTCCTTACTTTTGTCACACTGTTCTTCCGTGACTCCCATGCCCATGTTCGCCTTGGCTGCCAACCATGGCTAATCTCCATCAAACGGAGATCCAAATCTCCAACCTCCCGACCAAATCGGTCATACTCACCCCACAGAGGGCAACAATCACCCGTGAGATCCATACTACTATTCATGTAAGTCTTGGATCTTATACCTCCTCCCACCATATACTAAGAGATGTACCAGCCAGGCCAAAATGTAATCACGATCCAAGGCCTAGATCCCAACGTGGACCTGGACTCTGTCCAAATCGATGGCTCCGGCCCTGCTATCATAACAGACATGCAAACAGATGTTGTACCCCGGCGCGAGAAATTCAACGACGTCTATCCTGACCTGACAGTCGACGAGGAAAGTGATATCGATCAGGACATGACGACCGACGAAGAAGGTATCAATATCGATGACTCTGAGCTCCAGGCTATCCTGAAAGAAGAGCAGACCCTAAACACCTCTATTGCCAAGGCACAGGATGATAAATCTGCGTCGCTGTTTGTGTTGCAGTTTCTTGTGGGCTATGGGAAGAGTATTGACTCGACTAATTCTGATCCAGCTAAGCTGAATGATTTCCTGCAAATGTATCTTCAGCAGAGGAAGACGGAAGGGGATCGCGCGAGGGATACGGAGGTTAAGATTGCTGATAGTGAGAAAGTGCTTGAGCGAGTTAAGCGGAAGAGGGAGCGGTTGGAATCAGCCCATACTAAGGCCAAGGAGGCTGCATTGAAGGACGCTCGGCGAGCTAGCGAGAAGCGCGTGAGGGAGCGACAGGAGCGAAGGGTTAAGCAAAAGCGAGATATCAATGAGAAACGGCAATTTTGGAAAGATCGCGTCGGTCAAGTCGAGGTCTACCTGGATGGGCATGTGTCGGCCAGTCCGGGGTCCAGTCGCCGGAGCTCGGTAACTGAGAATGCTACATATGGTGGCCAGCCGATTGAAGTGACCATGAATCTGACGTATATCGTTCCTGGCCCGAGCTGGGCGCCTCGGTACAACTTGAAGATCAATACACCGGCTTCCACCGCATCGTTGATCTACAACGCGGACTTCCAGAATAACTGCTCGGAGACTTGGAAAGACGCTAAGATCACTCTTTCAACCTCTCATGCAGCCTTCTCGGGTCTGGATGAGCCAATTCCCATTCTCCAGCCCTGGCATGTCACAACCTGCTCGATTTCGGATCCTCAATCAATCTCTTGGCAGGATGTCTTACGAAGCCCAGCTGAGATAAACCACAATGCTATGGCGACCAACATGAGTTCGTATCCCGCGACCGTTGATGTTCAAGCACGCGCTCGCGCCCAGATGATAGCGAACGCAAGAAGTCTACAAGAATCCGGCGCAGTACAGAACGCGCAGCAACTGCAACAACAAGCTCTAGCCCAGCAGGCTATGGCACAACAAGCCCCAATGGCCCGGGGGTTTGTGGCACGCAGAGAACCGCGAACCACACCGCGTGATTCCCGCCATTCATGGGTCCCCTCAGCGCGTAGAGCACTGGGATGGGGCGTTAGTGAGGATAATGAGGATAATGAGGAAGCCGATGACAGTGGCAGCGACACTGAAACTAACGCGTCACCCAGCCTGGAGCGACAGGATTCGGTTCCACAGAACTACGGTCTGACCACGACCTATGAACTTTCTGGTCTCCGCACACTTGCTCCCTCTACCAGCCATAGGCGCCATCTTATTGCTCAGTCAACCCTGCAGTCTCTGACACTAACGCATGTGATTGTTCCCAAGATACGTGCCACTGCGTTCCTGCGTGCCAGAGTTAAGAATACCTCGTCGGTCAATATCCTGCGCGGGAAGACTGGCATATCCGTTGATGGAACCTTCTTGGGATCGTCTACGCTGCCGAATTGTGCACCGAATGATTTCTTCAATATTTCCCTCGGGGTTGACCCGAATGTTCTGGTGACTTATGCCAAGCCGACTGTTCGCAAGCTTGCTTCTGGGTATATCAGCAAGGAAAAAGCTGCAGTATTTCGTCGAAGTTGCTGGGTAAAGAATACGAAGAGTACAGCAATTGATATGATTGTTTCGGATCAGATTCCGCTCAAGGACAATGAACAGATGCGTATCCAGGTACTAGAGCCGAAGGGCTTGGAGAAGGAAGGTAGTGAGGTGGATATGCCGCTGGAAAGGGATAGGGGCAGAGGGAAGGCAGTGATGATGAGAAATGGTGAAGTCAAGTGGTTTATTAGATTGGAGCCTGGCAAGGATGTACGGATGGTGTTAGAATATGACGCCAAGGCGCCTGATGGAAGTGCGGTGATTACGGCTACTTGAATTTGTTCGTTCTTGCTGATTGATGGAAGATGTGGCGAAATTGTCAGTTGCTGTCGAATATGTATCTTACTAGCTCTAGCCTTGTCAGTTCGACGTGTATCAGCTCCTTTTTCATCCTAATAGTGCTAATTACATACATACCTAAATCAACATATACGTACAATGAGCAGAACCCGCCTGTGATATTGACAAATTGCATGATAAAAAGAACCCTCAGTTCACTCCGCCCAGGTTCATTGCTGCACTAATACAAGCCAGATGGCTGAATGCCTGCGGAGTGTTACCTATCTGCTCTCCAGATATGGCCACCTCTTCGGAGAACATGCCCAGGTGATTCGCGAAGGAAAGCATGTTGTCAAAGTTAGTCATCGCCAACTTTCGCAGCTCCCGGTACAACGGGTCATCGACGTTGTAAGATATTGCTTTCGAGGCCTAGCTTCGTTAGCCACTTCCATAAGCTGCAAGCGAGGGAGTACTGACACGCATCATGGCTTCGACTAGCCAGAAGGTGACCATCACAAAAGCGCCCTCGCGACCTCCGACCCCTGTCATCCATCGGTTAGCAGAGCTGTTCATCAATATGAGTGAATCGCAAAGAACATACCATCATCAACCTTGGTGTGATCGTACCGAGAGACCATGTTGGCCATCGATAGTCCCCCCTTGGCCTGGGGTAGCATGACTCTTTTCAGTGTGTTCAGAAACCTAGGGTCATTTGGCGCAATGAAGAAGACAAGCGGGGCAATCAGAACAGCTGCATCCAGGATATCCGGGCTCTCGTAGCTCATGCAAAAATATTTGTCTTTGAAGTTGTACCCCTTCGTCATTATCTCATCGTAGAGATCATCTCGGGCTCGTAGCCACTCGATTCGATCCGGACATGGTAAATTCGAGCGCTTTTCTGCCAATCGCAGGGCTCTATCTAATGCAACCCAGAGCATTATCTTCGAATATACGAAGTTCTGCGGTTTCCCTCGTACCTCCCAGATTGATCTGTCCGTTTCATGGAGCACACCCATCACGTGGCTGATCATCCGTCTTACCGCGAGCCATTGGTCATAGGAAATGGGACGCCCATGCTTATGGTAAAGGTAGACGCTATCCATGAGCTCTCCAAATATGTCTAGCTGAGTGTGGCTGGCGGCTCCATTCCCGATTCGTACTGGTTTACTACCCATGTATCCCTCCAGGTGATCAAGCTCAGACTCGGGGATCTCATGCTCTCCGTGGATTGTAACCATGATCGGGAGGAACGCTCTGTTAGTCCGAGATTCACCGTTCGCCGGTGGAAACACCCGGTCAAAGATGAAATTGATATAGGACTCTGCCTCTTTCGGATATCCATTTTTGAGAAAAACATAGACCACAAACGCAGCATCACGCACCCAAGAGTACCGGTAGTCCCAGTTCCGCGGTCCGCCGATACTTTCTGGGAGGGAAAAGGTCGGGGATGCAACAATAGCACCAGTTGGTTTGTACGTTAGTAGTTTCAGGATCAGCAGGCTTCGTTCTACCTGCTCGCGATAACGCCCTCGGAAGGTACACTGATTGATCCACATGGCCCAAAATTCAGCAGTATCATGCTCTAGTGTGTTCAAGTAGGATTCCAGAGATTTCGCGTCCAAAAGAGTCTTTTCTTTGCCGTGTAACACGAATGTTGCGGCCTGTCCTTCCAGCACTTTCATCTTCATAAACACGCCTGGTCCTTTCATCCCCGGTCTGTCCTTGATCTCGAATGTGATCTTGGGAGTTTCATTCGATCCCTCGCCAAATGGATCGGGGCTAGTGAGAATACTGAGCTGCAGGCGCTGCGTAGCACTCTCGAACAGATATTCATGCAGCCGACTGCCGGCATCGCCATGAGTTACCCATCGACCGGTATGCTGCTCAAGCGCATAATTGAACGCAGGAAAGATTTCAACAGCCATTTCCATCTGACCACGAACGCATTCCACCTTCCTGACTACTCCCGAGTGGCATTCCGCCCCCTCAGTACCATCGGCAGCTGTCTCGCAGGAGCACCAGGCTGACGCGGAATCCCGCGGACGAGATGGCTTTTTGCTTGAGACAGGAAAGTAATCTGATAGCGTGATCACCCCATCTTCGTGAATCCATCGTGTCTCTAAGACGTTTGTACAAGCTCTATATCGTTGTTTGCTCATGGGTTTGATATCTCCTGCCGGGCGGATAGTGAAATGGCCACCCTTGGTCTTATCCAAGACGCGGCAGAAGACGGATGGGGAGTCGAACGCTGGCCAGCACATAAAGTCAAGACCACCATTCTTGCTCACCAGGGCACATGTGTGCATATCCCCGATGATGCCATAATCTTCAATACTGCAGTAGTTCGGAGATGTGGCGGCCATTTTCCGTGGTCGGGTTAGATTCAAAGATATATAATTGGTGAGAGCTGTGTATGGCTTGGACCATGTACGTAGTTCAGGATAGCCACCATTGGTTTTCTATCCAAACCAAGTACTGAGACTGCTGGGTGTACTTGAATGTACCTCTTTCAATGTCTTTCTCTGTTCCTGTGGAAGGTTTCCTGTATGACATCACTGGGACAGCCCATACGAGGGCGTCCCGTGACTCTGACCATATCACATAATCTGGCACGTGTTCTCACATAGATACGTGAACTATTCTCAGTAGTTTTGTTTTTTGGTTTTGCTATGCCTTTATTAACAGGGGGGGTGGTCCAGCTTCTAGATATGTATAGACCGTGCACAACTACCCTAATGAAAATTGGCCGGCAAGCCATGGACAGCACAGGCTCCTAATTTAATTTACGCAAGGGTTCAAATACTCCATCGGCATGTGTATAAAGTGAACTGTTACTAAAAGGTTCAACATCATGGTTCGGAAGTTACGTGTCTAGCCAGATACCACTAATCTTGAATTTCTTGGACAAAAATGTCGACATCTAGCTTCTTGATCTTGTCAATTGTGTCCGTGCTGATCAGGCTAGTAGGCCATGGAAAGTCAGCCAGAGAAGCGCAACTGCTGCAGCAAAAAGTCTTCTATCACTTACAGAGGGTAGCAGGCAGGAGGGAGCGCTCTATTGCAGATCCAGCTGTCCTGGCCAGACTCTTCTTGGATAAACCTGGATAGAGCAATCAGGTCGGTGCAACTCAGGGCGTCTTTGCCATACCACACTCACTTTCGCACATTTTGATCATGCTTCTCCCAGGCCTCCATGGTCTTGTAGGTATAGAAGATTCTCTTTGAAGGGTTAGCGTTAATAATCTCCTCGGTCTAAAGGAGAATGTGTCGGGGTTGACATACCTTCTGCTCAGACATCTTGAGTTATGAAACGAGGTAGGGTCTTTTACTCTGGTTAGTGCACGCTGTGGCGAAGAGTATCAGGAGAGAATCCACAAACTGGTATGGTCAGCCGAAGTAGTTCTTTTTGCTTGGAGCGATGTGAATCAGTAGCAATGGTAGAGTGAGCAACTGTTATGGTAAGTAGGATTCGCGAGGACAACCGTACAATTGATGTAACCGCTAGCTGGACAGATAACAGGAAAACAGGATTTGATTACCAGTTATACATATTACGTAGGTGACGTTGATCTTTCATGAATCTCGTCTGATGGGACTACTTTGGGATGGACTGCTCGCAGAGGATCTATAGACGATCGAGAAACCTTTGTATCTACGAAGCGCTAGCCCCACATCTGTAAGAAGAAGTCGTCGAATATCTTTAGAATTCTCGAATCATGTCTTCGCCGCAGTGTTGGTCTCCCGGGGGGTAGAGTGCTAGCCCCAGCTGGGGATCGAGTTTAGCTTTTGGCATGGGACAAAGCCACAGTCTGTCATGATCCGTGGTACGAGCTTAACTGAGTCAAACCATGTCGGCAATTTGATGTCTCCCTATGGGCACCATGGTAGATTTTGGAACTCTCCTCTAGTTCCGCATCATTTCTATTGTTTGAAAATATTGGTAGCCCTTGCGGGGGGAAGCAAATGGGGGGCAGTGATCTAGTGCGGGCACATGATCCTCTTTCTGTGTCTTCTTGATTATTGTAGATATTAATATCAGCTATAGTAAGTGTCACTGAAGAAATGGTACTCACTCAGTGACCTTGCCGTCATGTTCTATTTTATGCTGTCAGGTGTGTATTGGATGTTCTGTGCAATATTAGCATCCGGTCTTTCCCACTTCGAGTGAACAGCATTTATCCTGGATTTCACGTACCTTGAGGTCGGACATTGGGTAAGAAGGCTCAATGGGTGATTTGTGCTTTTATGTGGAAGAATCGTGGACTACATGTCTCGACGGGATATGGCCTTCTTATAATGCCTGACACACTGCGCCCTGGGCATGTACTATGAGGGGTAGATACATCATAGCAGCTAATCTCAGGGGGTATACAGTAAGGTATTACTTGTTAAGCTGGGCAAGGATGAAGAATACGTGTCTTGCTTTAGCCTGAGACTGAAATTATGAATCCGCCTGCGTATCCTATGCAAAGTCGTCAGGCGCATCACCACGCCGCTAAATCGATATACAGTTCGCACCGACTGGAACGCTTCGCATTGATGCATGGGTGTATGACAGCCAGGGTACCCGTGCTTCTGACAAGTCACTGGGAAGGTAGCAAGTACTCTGGTATTGGGTGATTTCTCCAGGAAACATCGATATTGAGACCCCCGCTGAAATGTGGTGAAGCCCTGAGTAAGAAAATGGCCCACTTAAAGTATAGATACTTATAACAAGCTCATTGCCTATCAATCATTACTAAGTAGGGCGGTAGATATAGACATATTATTAGTTACCAATACCAATACTAAACCTCCAGCAAAGCTAATAGATTGGGACAAGCTACTCTTCCTTAAACATGGTTCTAACCTCAAGCCTTATAATCGCGACATAGGTAATAGTCCGGTAGTCATAACGAACCATTATATGCCCAGGCCTATCGACATCCATTATTATATAACCGGGCTGGATCAACATGCGCCTTGGTAATGACCTTTATTGATATCATGGTGTGTCGCACTGTGTTATGTACCGCCGCTGTCAAATGCAGCCCTAGACATAACCGCGCAGAAATATTGTCAACTAGACGTAGATATATGCTGATCAAAACTTGGAGTACGATATAGGCATTCTTGGTGTGGTGTCCAATGGGAACTCGCCATTCGGCATCTTAGCGCCGGTATGGGGATCTTGAATATTATCAAAAACCATACATCCTCCACGCCCGTAGGGCACCAGTTGCATCCTACAGAAGATTGGTTGCAGCTCCACAATTCTTGTGCACATCAATCCCTGGAAGTTGTAAGTTACGGGAATTCTCCCTTGGCGAGTACTAAGTACCTTGCGACTGACTAGCCCTCCGCGGCCCAGAAGCTTGCCGCCAGCCGTTTCTTGTATACTGGATGGGTGTTTAGAGGCTTAATTGCTTCTTTTGTCACCTTCTAACTTGGAGCATTATTATTTTAATAGAAATAATCATCCTGTAATTGTACTATAGTAGATTTACTCTGTATCCCTAGATTATTATTCATTTTCGGAATAACTTTTTCAACAACATCAAAGTTGTCGACTTTGTCTGTTAGACTAAGTGGTACAGTACTCCTTTCAGGACGGCTTTAATATTGAGTGAGAACACTGGCACGAATCACAGGACAAGATTTTATAGCCAGGAAACACAACAATGCGAAAACGATCCTACTGGTATGTGTTGGGGTACCGGGCTTTTCTTAATTTTGGCCACTCGAATATAGACTCTCCAGGTATGGAGGATACATATCCTGGGCATTTATTTGCAGATGATCATCCTGTGGTCGGGGTCGGGGTTATGAGCCTCCTTTCCAAGCTGTGGGGGGAGCAATAGGGTCCAGACTCAACGCTGGGAGACTTTGGCTAGGATTTGAGAGGGACAATTGAGATTGGTGGACCCGGCAGCAGAACCCACAAATTAAGCTCTGTTTTGGCGCAAGATGCAGGAAGAACTGAATGTCGATCGGACGGACGCGGATGAACAAACTATCCGAGCAATCATTAGAACACACGTAACGTGGGGTAGATCATTTGTCCCGTTCGCCACGAGTACTAGTACTGAGGGGGTTCAACCCTAATACCCTGTATAATCTGCCCGTCGGACTTGATTAACGGCGATGAATGCAGGCAAAATTATCAGTCCTAGGGTACAGCATACAACCTACTAGTTCACAACTATGGTTAAGCGCATCTTGAACGTCGTCACAAACGTCGGGCACTACGACGACCCGTCCCACCCGACCGGCTTGTGGTTGTCTGAGCTGACGCACGCCTGGCATGTATTTGAGGAGCAGGGATTCGAGCAGACCATCGTCAGCCCAGCGGGGGGGCTCTGCCCCCTGGAGCCGCGGTCGCTGAAGTTCCCAAACTACGACAAAACCGCGAAAGCGTGGCGAGCCGATCCGGCACGCATGGCACTCTTGGAGAACACTGCCAGACCCGACCAGATCAATTCGGCTGACTTCGACGCGATCTACTTCACGGGCGGGCATGCGGTGATGTATGATTTCCTGGACAACGAGGGCCTACAGCGGATCACGCGAGAGATTTACGAACGGGGTGGCATCGTCTCCTCGGTCTGCCACGGCTACTGTGGCTTGCTCAACACCAAGCGCTCAGACGGTACCTACCTGGTCTCCGGGCACAAGATGACCGGGTTCTCCTGGCGGGAGGAAGTCCTGGCCTGTGTAGACAAGCTTGTGCCTTACAACGCCGAGGAAGAGCTGAAGAAGCGCGGCGCCGACTACAAGAAGGCCAAGCTGCCATTTGTCTCATACACCGTGGTCGACGGCAACCTGGTGACTGGGCAGAACCCTGGGTCCGCTACTGAGACTGCGAAAAAGGTCGTCGACGCCCTCAGCCGTTAATGAACGCCGTCGCCGACTGCTTGGTTAGTAGGCACCCTGGAGTAGACGATCCGGTAGCCGGATCGCACAAGCCTTCTTCGGCGTTGGAGATCTCCAAGGATGGAAAGCAAAGAAAAGAGAAATCGTTGGAGCCAATCGATCCTAAGCTTTTGTATATGTATCTACTTATCAATACAAGGCGCAATCAAAAGAGTTCTGAAGAACCCTATATACTATATATTCATATGCCTTACTCCCTGTTAGGTCCGCGAAAATTCCCACGTGGAGTACTAAATACATTCTCCTCCAAGGGAGCTTATTATAGTCGCCGTATAATTCCTGTCAGGCGAAAACTCTGATACATGCACTCTATAGATACTACGATCTCATCTGACTTGATATTAATGGAATGCCTCCAAGGGTGTGGGCATGTTCAAGACCATCTGCGCATCCTTGAGGACGTCCATCCGTACGATGGTCGAAACGCCCAATTCGTTGAGCAGCTTGCTCAATGGACCTTCACTCCGAGAGAGCGTGACATTCCCAGGGAGAAGACGTTGTGCCCCCAGGAGTGGGTTGGTCTGAACTGCCACCTCGTACCATTTCCCGTCAATCTTGTTGATCGCGATGTTGGTCCCGATCGACGATTGGGATGGGATCGTCCTCAAGGCCGGAAGGGGTACGTCCAGGGTCAAATCGGGTGTCCCATCGGTCGCAGTCAACTCAGCCTTGATGTTGTGGTCGTCCATCTCCACATTGATGTTGGCGAGCCATTTGGGGAACTGGTATCCGTATACACCTCGTACTCGAGCGATCTCGGTATCGACGGGTAGAGCCAACACGTGTCCGTAGAAGGTTCGGTTCCATACGGAGCTGAGGAGTTGGGTCGTACTGTAACTATTTTGACCGGGCTGACGGACGATGATGGCGATCGAAACCTCGTTGTAAGGGTCATTGTCGCAGACAAGGTACGAGTAGAACGTCAAGGCAACCAAACCGTAACCGGGCAATGCTGTAATGGGCTCTAACGGTGACGGGAGCTTCGACTGCAAGCGGTCTAGGGGCGCAAGAAAGACGAGCTGGATGCTGCTAGTGCGATAATAGAAGTTGGGTGCGTATATTCTTCCCACCCTCGAGTCGACCAGCTTCTTTGGGGTGTTCCGGAAGAAGTCGATATCAGGTCCGACAGCTGGATCGCGGGCGACCTCGTCGAGGTTTGGGTTCATTCGATAACGGTCGTAGTAACCGCCTTTAGGGACATCGACTTTCTGTTCTCCGAATTCAACCTGGGTGGTCGGACCCTTGCAGCGTCTATATAATCATAGAGGAATCAGTACCACGTCAGAGTGAGGAGTAGGCTTAATGGTCACTAACGATCCGGAGGCCTTTGAGAATGCCGCTGACGAGCGGCCTACGGTTGTGGACATGATGCTGGCGGTATGTAGATCTAAAGTGATTTCTTTCGTTTGAATATGCGGAATCAGCGCTGATAGCTCGACTCATTATTAAGGCTTCTGGAGTGTATGTCGTATAGTCATAAGGGTCTCCTGCGCGTGTCCGCCGGAGGGATTGTTGCTCCGCGCAGTGGCAAGTAAAATCAGATCCACGATCGCACTGTGCGTGCCTCGGTCCACCACCCGCCACATTCAAATCTCACAGTAACGCGTTT